TATGTCAGCATAACATGAAAAAATGCTCTATGGTACAAAGAAAAATGGAAGCAACGATATTAAAATTCCAATCCCCTAAACTACATGACACACAGGCAAGGATGTTTAAAAAAAGTTTCAAGGGATTTTTTCTTCTAAGCTGTACACTACGATATGTGCATATATTAGCTTTTCAGCTTGGTTCAATCTTCATTGATTATATAATTATGGTCATTCACATCTAGCACAACTGTAATATCTATGTAATACACAACTAAAAACACTATATCTATTACCACAAAATAGTACAGAGCACCTAAGCTACTGACTGATTACATGCAGATAGTCATTAGTGAATCTCTGATGTGGGTTCAAAATAAAATATCTCCACTATCCATAAGCAAATTTTCTGTTTAGTTTTCAATCTGGCCATGTTTCACCTCACTACTTCTTCACTGCTCACTGGAAAAATAATGACATGAAAGAACACCAAGAAATATTACCAATCTTTTTATGACACATAAATTTTAACATTTACTGCTGTTCACTCCACAAAGGTAAAGATTACTATTAATAACTGGTTTACAATATACATAACCAGACATTAAAGCCAATCATTATAAAGCAATGTAAACTTCTAAAAGCATCAGCAGTCAACACTCACCATCGTGCTCTCTAAATCTGTTCTCACAATCTTAAAATGCACACAGTGAATTAAACAGGGCATAATTTGACAACCATATGATTCCAGTTACATGGAGAAAACCTTACAAAAAGTAAATCAGCCCCATCAGGAGAACAAAGTAAGCCAGGTGTAAACAGTAAAGCTATTATAATTATTCCAAATACATTATATCATGCTTAGCACCCCACAAGTATAATTTTCATCCAAACTTATTTTTACTTTGTTGATTGTTGAATTTTTCTGTACAGTAATTGTCACTTCAACTCCTGCACAATTTGTTGAATAACAAATGAGAGTAAATTGTATGAACAGTATTATAATACAGCTGAGAAGATATATGGACCATAGATGAATACTGTGAAATACAGTACAAAGCAGTGGCATGGCATTACAACACAAGGAATGAATGGTCATGTGCAGTGAAGTAAGAACAAGTCAAAACTACCAGTCTACAAAAGCAATTGTCACCCATGACCCATTTTGAATGAAGTAACTAAAATACAGTACACTCATTTTGATTTTCTTGATAATTACCGTACCATTACTTCGTCCCAAATATGGATGATAACTGTAGAGTCAGAGTTGTATGGTTGCTGGGAACAATGAGAAGGTCAAACATATAAAGGTTATTCCCTTAGATCCATTTGTATTCCACACACACACAACTATAAATATTAATTACATACCTGTACTGCACTTTAAATTGGTCAAATTTTAGTGTCTTAGTACAGCACATATTCATAAGATAGTCATGATGTAAAGGTGGGAAAATTCCTACTTGAAATTACACTCACACCAGTGTTTAGCAAAACCCATTGTTATGGAAAACATTAAATGTAATAAAAAGTACTTCTGTATACTGTCACTTAATGAAAGATATATAGGAACACATCCAAAGGTAAATAGAGGCTTAAGTATAACCAAACACACCACATCAAATTTCTATACAATATCTGAATGATAACAGGTATTGCCATATTAATTAATGGTCTGATATTATACAAAATATATGCTGTATATAGTACAGGTAATACTATATAATTATCATAGATAATTATCTATGAAAACATACTCCCATACTTATTAAGTAAATGAAACTGTCAAATGCCATAATAATTTGGACATTTAAGTATCAACACACACAAAAAAAAATCCATTTACATAAAATTGATAGTTGTCAAATACAATTGAGAAACTTTTCCGTCACCTTCAGTAAATGCAGCCCATCCCGTACTCCCATGTACAGCACAATATTAACATCTACAAACACAAAAGTATAACTTTCCATTTATGGTATTACAGTACAGCACACCAGCGTAAAAACTTTCTCCTCCATATATTTTTTTTAAGGTAGCCTTCTGATAAAGCAACCCCATCTTAGCTACTCTGGTTCACTTATCTCAGTAAGTTACTGCATACTAAGATCATTATCATCACTATCTTAAATTATCCAGTCATCATTACTCATATACTGTACACACATTTCAAATAGAGTATTCTTGCTATTTTCAACCACTTACTTAATAAATGTCACTACCCTGTACAGATGTCAACCTGCTTTGCCAGATTAAGAGGGCACTTGGAAGTCCTCCATATGAATTAAATAACTCGTTCCCACCCTGTAAAATGGGTTGGCAATAGAAGGAGCATCCAACCATAAAACTTACTTCAATTTTGCCTGGTGGCAGTTAGCCCACACCAGTATGGAAAATGACCATTAAAACTGTAATAAGTATAATACCTATAAACTACAAACAGCTTATCCTTGCTATCTTAGATCATGCAGCTGCATCACCCACAAACAAACCTATTACTAAAGAAGGCATAAAGGCTGTATCAGAAGTGATTGTCCTAGCTGGAATAAATCATGGCAGCTAAAACACAAGGCCATCCATATATTTCAGAACATTTCTTGGTATTTCCTCATAGAACCACCATTTTATTCTTCTTACAAAGAACTCAATAACCTAATTACAACTCTGAATATATGTATAGTCAAGCCCTCCAACTCCTTGCTCACCCATTATCATTATCAAAAATCTACCTGGCCAGGTGGTCAGGTCTTAAAACGTGTCAACCTCTGAGCGACATCAGGACAAGCACAAAGCAGACTAAGATGTTAAGTATAAAGCTCTGCACAGATGTTGTAAATCCACTAGCCTGCTAGCTATCATACTGGTCGGTGATACACAGTAGCATGAAGATCTGGCCTTTAAGGTGTTGAGCTTTCATCCAGAATACACCTTAGGTGCTTGAGCTTTCATCCAGAATACACCTAGACAACCTAAGTACAAGCTAACTAAATTTTCCATATAAGACAAGAACATTGCACTGTCATCCATGCTTGGTAACACCATCCACTGTTCTTCACTCATTACAATTCTATGACTTCACCATTTAACAGAGCATCGAATAAACTTACATCCTTTAAATGTTACACACAACATACAGGTAAAGTAAACCCTCGATAACTCAGAATATGATAACTCACAATTCAGTACTGTATAACTCAGCATGGCAGTAAAATATTCAACTGGAAATTATCTTTTAATTATTGGTATTTTTTTACACAAATTGCAATATTCCAAGATATGATGATGCAATTTTGGAGTGGCATAACACATGCAACCCACTCAGGATGCAATGGAGGCTCTGCCCAGTCAGCTGATCAGTTATGCATTGTTAGGCCTAATGAGAGGATACCCACCCTCAGTCGCTCTACTTATTTTTACATATTTTGTGTCAAGTGCTATTCCACCTACATTGAAAATTTAACCAGTACATGTACAGTTGTGTTTAAGTGAATAATAACATTTAAAGTTGGTGCTGTAAGTGATTACAATACAGAATTGTATTGTATACCGTATACTGTACTACAGTGCAGTGAGCCCATCATCATCTACATGACATCACAAGCTTGAATTATCCTCATCCTTTGCCTGTAGTGCTGGTAAGTGTTAATTAATTATTGTACAAGTTTTCTGATTATGGCAGGCTATTTTGGCCAAAAATTTAGGTACTGGGGTGGGACTAAAGACCAGGAAGAAAGTACAGTACCTTGATAATTCGGAATGGTTAGAGCATCATATATTTTGGGTTATCAAGGGTTTACTGTATGTACTGTAATTGCATTTAAAATTTTACTTGTACAGTAATTATTAATTTTGTTCAGAATCAAAATAGACATGGCTCAACATTTTCTGCACCACCAAAAGCACAACCCAAAATAAATAAATAAAAAAGTCTTGAATCTAATTAAGTGGAGGTTCCCGTCTGGTGTTGTAAAGTATTTGCCCATTACAGGGTACTGCACTAATGTTGATACAGGTACTTATGTTTTAACACCAAGAAATAAACCAAGTATTGAGCCACTACTAATGTGGCTACAAAAATGTCTCTAAAGAAGATAAAGAAATTTGGGGTAATTATGTACGTGGATGCAGACCTACAGTACACTATATCTAAAACAGTCAAATAAGGAAACCTTCTTGGATGAACAATACTTAAATTTCTCAAAAAAATAAATAAATAAATAAATAATAATAACGTATCAGGCAGAATATTTACTACTTAAATTGTTAAGTGAATTTAACACATTTCATAAAAGGAGATGAAAGTAAATGTTGGAAAAATTCAATTACGTATAGTACTGTAGTAAGAATGATAATAAGCGATGGAATAAACTACAATAGTCAAAAGCAAAGATAAATGCTGAAGAAAGTATATTATGGCAACAGATTTTATGGCACTATACAGAAGCAAACACAGGACAAACAACAAGTCAGGCCCTGTACAGTATCATAGCTGGATAGGACCTTAAAGACTTAAAAACAAAAGAATGACAAAAAGACAATGAGAGAGTTTGTGATTCAAATACTTGGGATCAGAGGTACACAAACATGGCCCATGAGAAGTATAAATAGGAGGGAAATGGTATTAAGGAGAAAGCTGTTTGGTTCCAAAGGAAAATATATAAAGATGAAAAATGTAAAGAGAGGATTTACAGATAACTAGCACAGTGCCTCCAAGCCTAAATTACAGATGTTTAACTTGGGCTTTAGTCTAAGCTTTGATGTATCCAGATAAATCCCTCTAGTAAAGTGATATGCAGATTTATTTGTATTACACTTTCATGTTAAATCCATTGAAATTAATACTGTATTGCTTGGTGCATAATGTAATTTTAATTGATATCAAATGAAATATCAATAATTATCTTTTATGGGGTCAATAAATATAAATAGAGTTATTTAAGGGCTCAAAATAGTACAGTACAGTATATGGCCTTTGAGCAAGTGCATAAAAGATCCATTAATGGTGCTACTGGACCAAAAATCATTTGTAATTTTAAACCTGAACAGTAAAGGAGTCCCCTAAACAATGTTAAACAATAAACTCCATTGAGGATCTATGTATCTCCCTTACCCAGGTAATTTATTTTTGTACCCAAGGTCACCTCAATGATTCACAGTTGATATAATACAGTACAGTACTACAGGTTTTTGGTCTTTTTGGTACTGTTAATGTCTTCTATACGTACACAGAGGCGGCTTCAACAACAATATCTTGCCATCTTTAAATCACTGAAATGATCCATTAACAATATAATTTTCCTTACTTACATATTCCATCATAGAGCATACAAAAGAAAAAATAGATCAGTGAATGTAGACATCGAAAAAATTCACCACTCAACACGAGTAATTGACTATGTGAAAATAAAAGTCTCAAACCAAGGATCAGGCACTTGATACTAAGTGACATAACTCTGTGACTGTAACTGCCAAAACTTAACTCCATAATACACTGTTAAACCAGCACGAAAAAAAATAAATAAAAAAGATAGTTTTTATGAAGATGTCTTAACAAGCTCTATGAATACAGTGCCACACAGTGTAGTCAACTTGATAAGGAAAACTAAAACCCATAATAAATGCTGAAAAAATGGAAGAACCAGGTGTAGGTACAATAACAATGAGAAGAGTCAAGTGAAGTCAGAGATGATGACACACAAACACACAAGAGTCAGATACTGAATTGTTAAAGTCTTAAAACAACATCACAAGATAATAAAGAGATAAATGACTAAAGACCCTTTACCCTAGAAGTCATTTATATATATACTCTATAGTGGACAGTAAACTGCAACAGGATTCTTAAAGATGAATCAACAAACACACTGTCAAAACACTATACCGCATGTAAAAAATAACCTCACCCCTCACAGTTTACTCCTCATGCCTCACATGGTAGAACCCCTTGCCAGAACAAGTCATTCTCTGTACACATAGCCTAGGCCTCTTCAAAGACACAGCAAAAAGGCTTCTTTCAGAATCCGTTAATCAAGAGTTTTATCTTGTAAAGTACAGAGCAAGCTTTGTTTTAGGGTAGGCTACAGTATCAGCTGAAACAAGTGAGTCATTGCTCTCTTGTGCATCTCCCCTAAATATTAAGTACAAACAACAGCACTTTGCATGGATGCAAACACTCACCCTTTGAGGCTATAGAGCCGGAGAAAAACAAAAATAATGGCTGACAATAACACTAATGTCAGTGTAGTGATAACTCTGCTTTCTTAAAAAACAGAAAGGTTACAAACTTTTAAATAAAATTACATTTATACAGAGCAATCCTACAGTTGTAAGTCCTGTAAGTCCTTCTTGTTAAAATCTACTGAGATGATACTAAATGATATAACAGAATACAATGATGATGATGAATCTAATTCTGTTTGAGGATGTAGTGGTTCCTTCACATGTAGGCAGGAATCTAAAATGGTTAATTACATAAAAAAACAGATTTCAACTCTTCATGAAAGATAACTAAATTGTTAAAAAGAACAACACAGTACAATACATAATTTAAGTTACCCAATGATGGTTACTACCATTAAAAGCAATTCTACATCCTACCTGTACACAGAAGACCCTTTACAACATTCTCAGGTTCACCACTTTCTTACAACCATGTCTGTTCTCCAGCTAATTTATTTTTATGACCCATCTCCTGTTTATCTGCCATTATTGAGAGTACTATACTTTCATCCTTACATACACTTCAGTACTTTCCATTCCTTTTGTGTATGCTTTAGGGGTTGAAAGTTGGTAGGTACTATACTATGCTGTGAACCTGTGAGTGTGTGTTTCATGTTTGTTGTGAATGAAGAATGTTTTTATTGTGTCCATTTGGTTAAAATTCAATGTTTTGTCAACCCTTAACCCCCAAACTACAATATTATTAGTGTAACACAACATAAAATATGCATATGAATTTAGATTCATGTTTAAAGTGGTATACCACATTTTCTAAGCACTCACATATACTATAAACAGTTTAATAACAATGGTTGCCCCTCATGTATGAGGATGGTCAGCCCTAGGGCCACCTAGGCATGAATTTGTTTAAGGTATAGAAGCTGTCGCGAAAACAACAATCACACCCTGAGTTAACGAGCTTCAATACCCAGTGTCAAGGAATAGTGCAAGAAGACCGGACAACTTGCCAACTGCACTGGCGAACCATTACCCCGGAACATGATCCACACATCGATTAACATCCAAGTTTCCAATTACTGTTGGGTAGACAGGCAAATGGCATAAAGACACTTGTCCATAGTTTTACCCTGCCCGGGAATCGAGCCCGGGTCCGCTCGCTTACAAGGCGAGCATTCTGACCATTACACCACAGGTCGCCTATCAACAGTGCACACACACAAACACACACAGAGGTCCACAAAACAGTATCTGCCAACTATAAACTCTTAATATGACCTCTAAAGCAAAAATGTAGTAGATATCATCTGCATACCTCTACACAAAATGCATAAATGCTCGCACCTGCCCCCAACACACACCCTCACAAACATATTTTAGGTTCCAAAAGCAGTATTATATTGTTCTAATTTTGACTCCCGGTATGATTCCTAAGTCAAATACCCTCAAGAATTGTTCCTCAGGTTTTCAGTATGAACTGGCTGCTAGCTAATATAAATGGTTAAACTGATTTTCTTAGCCAACTTGAATTGTTCCTGCAACAAAATCTTCATTTTTATTTACTGGCATAAAAACTCTTAACCTCTACCCTCAACCTCTTCAAATCCTCACTGGACATTCTTCCTTAATAGTGAAAGTAGATCCTGTGTCCAACAATCTGTTCTGTAATATGTACTGTTCACTAGTTGTCATGATTACTGAGGAGTCTCCATAGCATACAATATCGTTTTTGGAAACTTCTTATAAAATGGAGAGTAATGCAATGAGAGTAACATTAGACACAGAAGTTAGTGAAACAATGAACTAAAACCCAAGATATTCTCCAGTGAGCAGAACACGAGAACATTCACGAGTCTTTACATCAGAAATTTCAATGAAGTGAATAATAGTCCATATGTCAATTGCATATACAGTAGGTAAAAAAAATACATGTTACCCTATCATTAATGTTAATAAATAAATCAACAAATTAAAACCTCGCACACACTTACATGCAAACAAACATAAATACCTGTAATTGCAAACACTAGCACACGGTGTACATACAGTAGGTACATAAATACACATAAGCACAATTAAATGAACAGGTTATATCTAATATAACCAAATAATGCCAAAATAAACATCATTAAATGAGATTACATGACAAGGGCTAATACACTAATCTATAATTATATGAACACAAGTAGTGTTTATCCCAAACTACTGATGAGATCAAGCAAAACACAAGTCAGGCTCCAAACCAATTTTCTATGCCTTCACACCAACATTGTAGTGTTACATATCATAGCAAACCAATATTATTTACTCTTATTGTAATTTTAGCGGAATGAGTATTACAACAATGTGTAGAGGCCCAACCAACAATGTCACCACCTGCAAGTAACTAGCAAACTATGATACAATAAATTACAGTATCTGGTTATAACAAATGAAGGAAAATATATAACTCAATGTCTAGTTAATTAAGGTAGTACAGTTAAACAGTATTCCTTTTATGTCTGATATAATTTACTATCCTGATGCCATTAAATTATCATTACTGAGTATATTGTGAGGTCTTGCATATAATACCTTGAAGAACATATCCTCTTTATCTCAGTGGGTTGAATAATATATCCACCATATTCCTGTGGGTCATACAAGGCAACAAAAATGATTGGATTTGGGAGCAGAAATCCGTTTTCATCAATAATTAAAGTCAAATTGGAAGATGATGCTTACCAATTTAGGTGGATTTACACTTAGAAATCAGACATGGATTGTGTGCCTGCTACTGTCAATTTGCAAGTGTGTGCACCTGAACCACCATACACACAGCTGCAGACAAAATTCTCATCTGGTGCTTACATGACCCTCAAGTACATGCCAGATACAGGTATACTGCCAAAAGTGTCAAGGGAATTTTGTTTGAAACTGTACAGTACATGGTAAAGGGTATAGCATTGTGACAAAGAGAACTCAATTTTCTTACACAGCACAACTATACTAACTCCAAGTCGTGTACCTACAGTACTTGAAAATGAGTAGAGAAATATAGCGGCAGTAAAAATAAATATAATTGATAAAAGGTAAGAAGGTAACTCTTGGTTATTCCTAAAATATTAAATAAATGGCAACACGTCAATGCACCTAATGCACAAATGGTTACTGTACTATATGATGAAGCTGCGTCACCAAGTTTAGATGGGTCAGTCTCAAGTTGTCAAGATTTTAAATATAATAAAACTTGTATAGGAACACCCTCCATGTGATATCAATATTATTATTTTCCAATGTGATATTAAATATTTTTAAATACTAACACTGACTAACACTAATAAACTTCCATTCATCAAATTCTTTATTAAGTGCTATGCATGCTGCAGAACTTGATTAATAGCAAGGGCTTGATATAAAACATATATTAATCCTCTGTTCTAAGTGAAAATAGCTATCTTATAGCCAATTACAACATCATAAACGTATTTCTAAAACATTATCCATTTCCATCATTCACTCTTATTGTTTATAAAACTTTGGGGTACCATATGATCACAACTTGCTTCCTACTGCCAACATCAGCAACATCTTTCATATACTGTACAGTAGTGTACTGTACTCCTAAAAACAACAGTGTCCAAATCTCTTCTTCTGCAACAGTTTTGACCTCGCACCCCATTTCCAAAAAATCCATTAAATAAATGCTCACTAAAACTAAATTTTTTACGTGAAATACAGTGCACCCTCACACTTCCAGACCTCTCAGATCCGGATTTAGGTTGATCCGGATGACGCCTGGATGTGGCAAATTCATATCTGGTCTCTCTCGGTCTGAATGCCACGTTTACTGCCCCACTGTTAAAATGGACCCTGTCCCGCATCTCCCGCCACTACTCACTGCGGGCCATTTATAGAGCAATACACTTATATAATTATTATTGTTGTTATTAGTACAGTACTTTATTATCATTATTGTATTATTATTTAATAACATTATTACTATTATTATTAATACTGTATTATTATTGTTACCAATACAGTCCATGTACAATATTATGTTTATCATTACTGCACCATCATCACCCGGTTCATCCAGATATTTGTCACATCTGGACGCCTTATCCCCCCTAATTGTCCTGACGTGCAAGGGTTTAATGTATATTCAACTGCTACTGATTCACTGCATTTCTTAAACTGCTACCTAACTCTCACGGCCTCGCACGTCGAACATAAAAAGGCGAAAAAACTTATGCTCAGCCTCGCGACACCAACGTGGCGTCCAATGAGCTATATTTTCAAATAACTCAAAAACTATTCAGTGAAACTGACTGAACTTTGGAGGCCATTTGACAGATGTCGTTTTCTTTGTGTGGCCCTTATCACCTTCCCCGAGACAGTCTTGGTCATCATGTGTGTGGCAGCCCCTTGTATAAAGCCTGTGTCACTCTGGCCATTAGAGCGAGAGGAGGGTGCACTGCTCGGCCCTTTAATTATTCCATAAGATTTGGCGTTATATTATTTTTCCTTATACCATGATATTCTACATGCTTTGTTCTTTATTTTGTTATATAGCACATATCAATGAAAACCATAATACAGTAGTCCCTTGATTAACGAGCACAATTGGTTCCACAGACTCAGTCGTTAACTGAATCTATTATTTCAATGGGATATTGGGTAATTGGTTCCAACTCACAGAAAAAGTACATACAAAGTACTGTACTGTATACCGGTAATAGAATTAACAAAACATTAAATATAAACAAAATACAGTACTGTACTGTCCAGTAAACTGTACAATAATAAATAAAAAACAGTAGAATACTGTATTTTAACTTACTTTGAGGTGTGTATGTCGTATTCCCAGCGGCTTTGTTTACATAGCAAACAGCTGATTGTACAGGCAGTCGATGATGACATGCCATTTTCTTTACAGAGTGCATTGGTTCTAATGCCTTCCTCATATTTCTTAATAATTTCTGCACTGCATATTATCAATATGTTAACTAAATTTCAGAATGACCAATAATTTTAAAGTAAAATTGCAAAAATATTCAAGAGACCAACAAACTCGATGTTCACTTCACTGTAAACAAAGTTAAACTGAGAAGCGTTGGTGGGTGATTCGATCAGCTAATGGGCGCACAAAAGCTGGACCCAGTATTGTATATATTATCAATATGTTAACTAAATTTCAGAATGACCAATAATTTTAATATAAAAAATGCAAACATATTCAAGAGCACAACTTTCTCGATATTTACACCACTGGAAACAAATGCAAATAAAGACCCAATTACTGTATTGGCGGACTAGCAGATCAGCTGATGCACACACCAAAGTGTGTTTCTCGTAAGGCTGTCGTTAAAAGAAGTTGTACTGTACTCGTTAATAGAAATGAAAATCCTTATGGGAGCTAATTCATTAACCGAAATCTGATAAATTGAACTGCTCGTTAGTGGAGGGACCACTGTACAAGCAAAATGTGAATAGAAATCGAGATGTTACTAAACATTTCCTCCCTTTTCAACTTATACTCGAAAAAGGTGGCTTAAATTTCAAGAATTTTCAATTTTGTTGTGGTTTCATACAAATTTTCAGACAATTTTAAGCTAGAAAAGACCCCATTACAATTAATAAAACAATTCCATGGCAGTGAAATGAGCCCTCCCCCCCCCCTCCCCAATTTTTTTTCAACGATTTTTTAGCATAAACCTCCGAGGCTGAGCGTAAGTTTTCATGCACGTATGTATCTCAGGCTCGGAGGCCGAGAGGGTTAATGTGCCTTTCTCTCAACCACAACCAACCTTTAGCTTGTCTCTATAATCTGTATTTCTTACTTAAGATGTATAAACTTTTCTTATTCTTATACAGTATAACCTTAATCAACTCATTATTGTACCAAGTATCACATAATCCTCTAACCTCTTGTTCTCATATAATCTGTACAGTGTCTAACATGTTCAATATTATACCAAATATCACTAGTATAATCAACTAACTGTTTCTCATTTAAGTCTTACCAAACTCTAATTGTTCTGGTTCTGGAATAATTGTAACTAGCTCAATACTATACCAAATACCAATAGAACCCACTCAGTCCTTACAGCAGACAATAGTGATTGGCAGAACAAACACAATTTTTTCAAAAAGCAAACAAAATAATATATGAACTCAATACAAACATATGCTTAAAGATCTTCACATAACCAAGATGAGATTGTAAAGCACATGAGTTTTTATCTTTTGTCAATGTCACTGACACACTGTATTACACGAGAATAAGACAACAGTATGAAATATGAATTTGAGAGTTATTTGAGTGCTATCCTCTACTCTTGAAATTATAACTTTTAAGTAAAATGTGAAAATGGATTTAGGAGAAACAAAATATATACTGTATTTGATGATGATTATTATCTTGTCTCCCAATGTCAGAAAGTGTGCTCACTGAACATAATTATCATAAATAAAAGAATGCTGACAGCTCATTTATATAACCTAGCCATTATAACTCTCCTATTGGAAACAAAAGCATACTCAAACAATGCCTTAATTCTTATAGGTATTGAAAGAAACAGACATCACTGATCTCATCATTGGCTCACAGATACACATCCCGTCAGGAGTTTTGTCATGAAAACTGCAAAATAATGAACACAGTACTGACTTGAATCGACGCATATAAAATTATAGACTAACGTCACTGTTCTATCAAGGAGTGTGAAGGCAGCGTGACTAGTCAGAGTCATCATTGTTGTGGTCCGGGGGGTGCATAATACCCATACCTTCTTGAAGCTCCATGACGCTCTCCACTGGGTGTGGTTTCCCATCATCACCAATACGGCATGGCTGGATTATATTGTTTCTGTAATATCATCAATGTTATTAGGTAGGAATTTGTGTAACTTAATAAGACTTTCCAGCAATATCATTAAACAACTTTCTAGAATTAATCCAACTCTAAGGCGTTCCAGTAGTATTGTTACCATTACTATACTGTACAGTGTACTGTATGTTAACCTATTCTAATCTCACTTAACACTAATCTTAAATAATCCAACTCCACCACTTCCATCCTCCCTGCTAGTCTACCACTACAAATGTGTCACTTCAATAAATCACAAGAAGAAATTATCTAATTTCGAGTACAGTGTACAGTATTTCAGAGTTCTTATAAAAGTCTCATGTGTCTGACAACTTAACATGCATAATGATTCTGTTGACTAATCACTTCACTTAATGTTATTATTAAAACAAAGTTTCTAAAACAACTTCACTTAATGGTATTATTAAAACAAAGTTTCTAAAACAACAGTTAGAGAGAATGAAAGACACTGAGTGAGGGAGAAGTGTGTTGCTCTTAATTCCAACCACCTTGCACTGTGGTGGGAAAGAACGTGCAAGAGTGAAATAAATTACAGAATTATTATACTGTACTGTATATAAAACATATACCCTGTATTGTATATACTGTAGTTGTATATGACTAAGTAAATACCTGGTGAGTTTGTCCAGCACATTCACTAACTTCATGGCTTCATGTTCCTTTTGTTCTTCAGTCATCCCCTCCAGTGGTGAAGGCCGAGGTGGCTCGTACCGACCAGTTACTGGGTTGACCCTTATAAAAAAAAATCCTATTTGTAAAATTTAATTCATCAAACATGCATACTACATACTCCTGCATAAAACTTTATTCATGAAACATGCAAGCTTCTCACTCCTGCATAAAACTTTATTCACGAAACATGCAAGCTTCTCACTCCTGCATAAAACTTACTCACATAATCTGTAATCTCATGATAACATGTGACCAACTATGAGACAGCATTTTCTCTCATACCAAGTGAGACAAAACACAGGCCACAAAACAGCCACTCAAACACTTGGGTTTGAATCAGAACAACCAGGACAGATGAGGAGATCCTAGATGAACTGATGAGATACACAAATGTTCTCAACAGTACAGTATTTACCTTTCCTTAATACCCAGAGTCAATCTATGAACTTACAATGATAATGATTACTGTATATCAAGGGTATCAAAGGGGTCTTGTGAGACAATTAATTGTTCCCTCTTCCTGTAAGAAAATGGGTAAAATACTAATTAAAAATTTATTTACAAATGGTTCATAAGTATTAAGTAGTACCTCTGAGATAAAGCAAGAAAAGAGCCAATACTGTATCAAAAATACTCACATTTCCCTCACTCTCTCATACTCCTCAGTGTCCGAATCCTCAGAGTCAGGAGAGTAAGAACCCGATGGTTTATTTCCACCGAGCATCAGTCCTCGGGAGGCGAGGAGTCCAGCAGCATTCCCATATCCAGTGTACTTAATTAGACGGTCAACTGCGAGAGAAAATTTTTATGCTTTATCAGTCAGGTTTAAGAATACTGTATATTAAATCATGATGCAATGACAGCTTAACTCATTCACTGAAAGAAGTTTTTATCCAGCCAATATGATACAGCTCAAGCTGCATGGCTTGCAATAAACACCTACTACTGCAGTTCACCTATTGATACTGCACAGTGGCCACAATCCCTCCTTCAACCACTAATAACACAGAAGCCAACTCACCCAGTCGATGCACAGGAAAGAGATCTTTACCCCAGAAACTTAACTGCTGTACCCAGGGTCATGGTTTTAAGTATACATTTAGGGCATAATGTCTTAACTAAATTAAAAGGCTGGCAATGACTTCATAGTCAGTTCCCAGAATTGTTGTTCTGGCCCATCTTAGAGCATACCGTACATGAAATTCCGATATTCTCGACTCATTTACTTGGTGTGACCAGCCAAGTGCTGCAGCTTCTCACCATTTTTAAAACTTCTCAATATCTTCAACTTAGTATCTCATGTTAATACCTTAGACTTCTTCTTTAGATTCATTACATGTGGGAGAACTTGAAAGATGTTTTGGGGAGCTCCTATGAGTGGCAAAAAGATCAAACTAAATCAGCAAAGAGAACAAATGTTTACATACAACAAGCGCCAGGTGCATTCTGGCAGCTAGAAATACAGTACTGCCCATGGAAACCTTGGCTTGTTTTAAATGAAATTTGGATATTAAAAATAAACCAAATACTGTACATGTACTGTACATGTAAATCCATTTCTTGTGAAGCTGGTGAAACCAAAAGGGTGACATGTGTAACCAAATATAGTTTGTATGACTGTCACTATACAACTGTGGTACCACAAGTGAAAACATGTGCAAACTTGTCATCAATAGTTGACAAAAAAAGAAATCAAGAAACATTACCAAGAAACCATATATAAAAGTCCCAATGACAGTTCATAGATGCTTTTGTGTTTCTCGAAATGATACAGGGGATCCTTGTTATATGTTATACAGTACTGATCTACGTCATTTCACATACAGTATATACGTCGCTAACAAATATTAAGATATTTTCTTTATACAGTACAGTACCGGTACGTCATCTGCATCACCCACTGTTTTATACTAAGTAAAGTCTACGGAAATAAAACAAACATTTTCAAAGTACCTTTCCCTAACCTACCTCATTTAATTCCCTCTATTCATTTTTGTTCATTTGCCATTCATATTTCAATAGAATTTGCTTTAAAACATTAACCACTTTAGTAAATAAATATGAACCAGCACAGAAACCGTGAATAAAAAATGGAAAAGAACATGTCATCACAAAAATTGTGACCAAGTCCCAGGTTGCTCATCTAACTTTCTACCACATTTACACACAATTGCAGGGTCTCAATTGCTTCTCTTAATATTGACAACACAACATACATATAATGTTTCTCTCTCTTGATTTTTTTTTTTTTAATTTTTGCATTTATTTATGGTTCTTAATTACTATTATTATTATTATCATTATTAATATTATTATATTATCACCCCCAGGCCCCGATGTGGGTCAGTGACCTGTGCCCAGGTGGGCTAATCCCTGTAAAAAAAAAAAAAAGGAGTTTGGGATTGACGGTTAATCCGAAAGTCGGTTAATCGAGGGTCGGTTAATCAAGGTTTTACTGTATAATAAGTAATAAAAGTGCCCTTCAAGTTTCAAGTTTCTATAATTCCAAAATATGTCGGTCACCTCTCACATGACTGTGTACTATGCCATTGTTATATGTAAGTAACCACAGAATTTGCAGAAAAGTCATTTCAACATATTAGTGCATTTATCAGTACTTAATAAATTATATTGTAGTGTATTATGCACCTGCATATACCCTTATTTACAGTACAATATTCATTAATCAGTTGTCTTATTGTACAAGTAGCCAAATCAAGCCCTCATTAATCACTCAAAGATAACAAATAATGATGTTAGGAATGTACAGTATCTCCATATTAAATACTGTGCTACACAGTACAGTATGTTATAATGACTCCATTGTAAGTTGATTTACTGAAAGCTCTCTCTTTAGAAACACACCCTGAGCTTCCAAGGGGTATTACTGTACATATTAGGAAGCATATACCCTTAATTACAGTATACTATACTGTACATTAATTCCTATGGCAAAAAATTCCTCATTATAAAACATTTCATTATGTTGCATTTCTCTGGATTCTCTTCTAGCTGATTCATCATCATCATTATTTTATGGTCATTTTCAAAGCAAATATGAGAAAATTACAACACCTGTTTATTTCAATATTATTTCTTCAGATTCAGGAATTTATTTCATTGGAGACATTTAGTCCCCATCTAGAATAAATATGTAACCATGGGAACCAATAAATGGATAGTTAAACTTGTTGATGATGAAAAGAATTTGCAAAAAAACGGTTATAAAAAAGTGCATGAAAAAATGGTTAAATCAGTCACCTGGTGGTCCCTGTGTCATCACTGTGACTCAAGGCTCGACTCTATGATTTGAGTGTAGACTATCCAGAATGATATAATCCACATGATAAATTTTATTCCATATTTAAAGGTGTACATAAATAAAGAAAACTATCAACTTCAAAAGTTAATGGCACAGGAAAAAGGTTTCAGTAAAAATGTTAGCCATGTGAAGTGCTTAAAACGAGTATCTACAGCATAAGTCAATGTCACCACATGATGTTGGTTAAAGCCTGCACAGGAAGGGAGGGGGATAATGAGAACAGCCCCTTAATTCTACATCCCCCTACCATTAATAAAGCAAATGAGATAAAAGAAAGAGAGAGAAGGAAAAAATAGAAATAAGATAAATATAATGAGAAGACAGGGGCAGGATGAAAGAAGGGAGGGAAGTGAAGCTAAGAAGAGCGGCTGATCAACAGGCATAACGTTAGCTGGTTTCAACTGGTGACCAAAATGATGACTAATGTCCAGCTGCTGCCACCCCTTAGGCATCCACCAATCAGATGAGTTGGAACAGGGTCCACTTTCACCAATTTAGATTGAACATTGTAAAAGAGACAGGATGAAGTAAAACAAGGCCACAGAATCTGGCATCTTGACAAGGATCAATAATGCATCATTTATAGTGCAAAGCCACTAAAAAGGTGAGGAAACCCTGAAAAGGAATTGGCACAGTTAAGTCAGCCTGTAAATCTAAGATTTGTTTTAATGTCGGCTGTCTTAAAATGGGTTTCACTATCATACAGTCAATAAATATAGACATTGTTGACAATAAGCCTGGGGAGAATTAAGACAAACTTACTGAGTACTCACATGGATACCAAAAATATACTTTTTTTTTATTACATGTGTATACCCTAACTCTAAAGAGTGGACAGTCTATTGCTACCAAAAATTAAAAATAAAAATTATAGAAAAGGTATAACTGTATATGAAAACATCTATAGTACCGTACACATTCAACTGCTTGATTCTGCCTGGTCCTTCAATAATTTCTCTTTTTGCTGATGCTTAACATCAGTAAACAAACATCATACAATAAGAAAGATTCCCATTCTCAGATATATTCTGTTCATCATGAAAGTACTAAATTTAACTCGCAATTCTTTCTGGATGAAATTAAAACCTACCACTTTCCTTGCAGAGTATGAAGAGAAAGTTGGCCGACAAGTGCTTCAGATCATGAAGAGGCGAGGTCATGAGGGTGCATAGTTTGTTCCTTACTGTGTGCCCTTCCTCAGGTCTTTTGCTCACATCCCTCAGCGGGGGTAAGACACGCAGACGGACAAATTTACGGATAGTGCGGTTGGCCTGCACCACCTCCACCATGAGGGTCAAGATTGGCATGAGAGACTTGTTGGATGACTGACCAGGCTATGGAGAAAGAGCATCTATTATCTATTAGTTAAGTCATTTGCATAGCATGGCAATTATATATCAAAGTATGAGTCACCCTACTTCATGAGTCACCCTACTTCATGAGTCACCCTACTGCACGAGTCACCCTACTGCACGAGTCACCCTACTGCACGAGTCACCCTACTGCACGCGTCACGCTCCCGCATGAATCACCCGACTGCACCAGTCACCCTACTGCACGAGTCACGCTCCCGCATGAATCACCCTACTGCACCAGTCACCCTACTGCACGAGTCACGCTCCCGCATGAATCACCCTACTGCACCAGTCACCCTACTGCACTAGTCACACTCCCACACGAGTCACCCTACTGCACGAGTCACCATATTTCAAATCACACTGAAAATCATGAGACCTACACACAAGAGATACATACAGTACAGTACTTTTTCAAATTTAAAGCTATCAAGACACTAATCTGTTGATGACAGATGTGTATGTGTAAGGTAGATATCGCATTCGGGTACAGTAGTGAGAAAGGTAAGTGCGTCCCACACAGCCCAATTATATATGTACAGAATAGCAGTATTACAAAAAACAGATGAAGATTAACATAAATGATGTACATTGTTAGTCTATAATGAAGCCTACAATGCCTACACGTGAGGGGTAAATCAACTTGTCTCGCCTCCGGTACAGGCCTACACCACATACACTGCAGGAACAGTTACAGTAGGATCTCAAGTTTAGCGAATTTTAGATTCGCAATTCCTATGTTTCGTGTCACTTTTAAAATTTCCAGCCTCTCAAGAATAGCGATTTTCATTACCAGTTTCGCGAGTCATTGTTGAGTGGACAGCGCGCATCGTCACGGTCTTTTGCTATCCATCGACCCGCCGAGTGTTTTTTTGTTTACGGCAAAACGGCAGTTAGTTTGAATGAGCGAGCGGTGCAGTGACCTTGGATTATATAACCCATTGTGCTTAAGTTTCACGATTCCTCTTTAACTATTAACGATTCTTGTGCATTAACAATGAGTGAAGTGCGTAATGTAAATGTCGGGAGCAGTTCTGGTGGTAAAGATGGCCGTAGAGAAGGTCAACAAGGAAAGCCCCAAGCCAAGCGTGACTACCATAAGGGGGTCAAGAAGAGGAAATACACCCTTGAAATGAAACGAGAGATGTTTGAAATGATCAAAAGTGGTGTTCATACCTGTGAAATCATGCGGAGGTTCAACTGCCCCGAATCAACCATACATTCCCTTAAGAAGAACAAGGAAGCCTTTACTGCTTCTGTGAATATATTCTCAGATTATATAGTAGCAGGATGTTCTCTGATATACTTCACAATGAAATCTACTGTGAGTTATCACAGAACATTACCTTCACAAGTGGGTGGAAAGAAGAAACCGTGAGCAACGTGACCTGTTTGGGCCACAGATAAGGCATCAGGCACGTGTTTATTATGCTACAGTTGCACAGAAGAAATATGTTGACTTTCCACTACCGTTCAATGCTTCTGTTGGTTGGTTGGCTCTCTTTAAGAAGCATTATGAAGTCAAGTTTGCCCACTACCATGGGGAGAGTGCATCAGCTGATGTCATAGCTGCAGTAAAATATCCACCTGTCTTTCAAGCTCTTGTGAAAGAGGGTGGTTATTACCGAGACCAGATCTTCAATTGTGACGAAACTGGCATTTTCTGGAAGCGCTCACCTAAGACCACTTACATTGCCAAGGATGAAAAATGGGCGAGGGGTGTAAAGACTTCAAAAGACAGGATTACAGTTTTATTCACAGCTAATGCAAGTGGAGATTTCTTGATGAAACCTCTGGTTGTTAACCATGCTGCCCGTTCTAGAGCCTACAGGCATGCCAATATGTCGCAGCTCAATGTTTATTGGAGGTCTAATAAGAAAGCTTGGGTTACGTCTTTATGCACCGATTGGTTTGACAAGCACTTTGTTCCTGAAGCCCAACAGTACTGCTGGAGGAAGAACATTGACTTCAAAGTGATCCTGGTGATGGATAATGCTCCTGGACACTCTAAGTTTCTAATTGGACGCCACCCTAATGTACAAGTTATCTTCCTTCCTCCTAACACCACATCGCTTCTGCAGCCACTTGGCCACGAATTCATCAGTAATTAAACTGTTCTACTATCAGTCACTCTATAAAGACTTTCATCAGCAGACAGACTCATTGGTTGAGTTACAACAATTCGAGGCAGAACTCTCTGACAGTGACCAGGCTCTACCAGCTAACCAGGAGGAGGAGATGGCAGATGACCTGACTCCTAGCACCTCACAACCCCGGAACCGTGAAGGGTTATCGGTTTGTGAATTTTGGAAGAAATATAATATTAAAAATGCAGTGGACAGAATATTTGAAGCATGGCTTAAGATTAATGTTGCAACAGTGCTACACGCATGGACGCCTTTGTTCGCTAACTCCGAGATAAGTGGGGCAGAACAGACCGAGGCAAGCAGAGAGGGGCAGTCCGTGGCGGCAACACTAATGGACACAGTGGAGGCAGCGCGCTCAGTCCCAGCACCGGGATTTTCAGATGTTCAGGTTGAAGATTTGCAAGAAGTCGTTGGTCAACATCAGCAGCAACTGACAATTGAAGAAATGTTGGAGGAGGATGAAGAACAGGAAGAACAGCAACCAACACAAGAGGATGACGTTAAGCCTGGTGAACCTACTGTGCAACACGCCAGCTGACCAAGTTGCTCACAAACATCGCACGTCTCAGTGAACAGCTAGAAGAATACGATAACAGGCCTCATCCTCGGAACCTTAGGTGCTCTGCCCTTGATAAGGGTAAGGAGGAATATAATGCCTTGTACATGTCCTGTGTTAATGCTTGTCAGCAGTCCCTTATTACTCTGTACTTGTGCAAGGCCCAGCCTGTTAATGCCTTGGCAAATATCACTTTAGGAGATGATGATGGCACCACAGATGATGATATTGAATTGTTGGGAGACTTACTGTGGAAGAGCTGCCTCAAGACTGAGGGATTTGATGCTGAGGTTAAAGGAGGTAGAGGAGGGAGCAGGGAGGAAGCAGTTACCAGCCCTCCCTGCCTCAGAACCCATCAACCAGCCCCATCAAGCACTTCACTGATTCCATCAGGGCAAGTTATTCTACAGTATGAGTGTATACAAATATTGTTATCAACAATATGTACAATATATTGTAATGTCATTTTCTTGGTGAGTTGTAGGTCATTATAGGGGGGTTTGGGTGACACTGCAAAACTGATTAGGCTTATTTATATGTATTTCAATGTCACTCGTTTCGTGATTTTAACTTTTGCGATTCTAAAACCGGTACAAATTAGTCGCGAAACATGAGATCCTACTGTACTTTTATCTATGGCCATTCTATCTTTTTCTGTCTTTCCTACATGATGCTTTAATTTCTGTGTGGTTACCTAGTTGGATCAGAGACACTGTTAACCAGCTTATCAACTTGTGTGATAATACTGCAGATACAGAAAGAATACACCACTATCTTTATTCTATACAAGTCTTTTTCAGCTATCTATTCTAGCCAGAACATATTACAGTACAGTATATACATTATGTAGTATACATACAAGATGCATATAGCAGTTAGTTACCAGCAAGATTTATTCTGATCATACCAAAATCATACAAAAAAAAATAAATAAATAAATGTAGCCTATACCACTTCAACATTAAAATTTGTTAATGTAATTATGTCAAGCCTAAATCAAAAGATACATTTTATGTACAGCTTGCAAGAAAAATTTACATTATGGTATAGAAGATAATAAATACAACACCATATACCAACTACCTTATATGTTGCCCATGTCAAAAACTGATTTTCCGGCTACAAGAACAGAAAACAAGACATTTGATAATTTTGAGCCAGTAGTATTACATGATAAGGTGTAAACATATATTGTACTAGTCTTATGGAATCACTCCTGAAACCCTCCAAGTAATGAAATAAATTTACAGTTATAAAAGCATTAAAGATGTTATCCATGTTATTAGCCTTATTAAGTGCTAAATATTATGCATCCATCATCAAAGGATTCATTTATTATATTAACTAACAACTAAACAGAAATAACAGCACTCACAGCTTTTAATCTCGAATCTAGAAAATCTAAGAGTTTGATAACAGCTGTCATGTCCTTCCCATCATACTCGCAGGAGCGCTCATGTAGCTGTATGTGATCATGCACATTAGTGAAGCAGGCAGCCTCAACCATAGCTGTGGCTCCGGCAGTTGGCTGTGTAGTGACCACAGCTGGGATAGGTGGTGATGTGGGACCACCGCTGCTTGCCTGGGGCATACTCAACAGCAGCTCTTCATACATATTCGGTGGCATTAGCAGTAGCAAATTAACCGTGTTGCTGGAAATACAACTCAAAATTAAAAATTAAACAAGAACAGTAATAACAACAACTAATTCCCTCTAACATGATAGAAGGGAGGAATTATCAGCACTCCAAAACAGAGCAATATGGATGAACACATCATCTTCCTCATATGAAGCGCTCAGCATTAGAAGGGGGTGAAGTGCCACCCCGGGAAAAATGCGCTTTTTTATGGATATCACTATTTTCACCATTCCTCTACATGTTGGCATTGGATGTAACCCTCTAGCTAGAATAGAAATAGAGTAGAAAGTCCTTCAAAAATAAGGTATGATTTTGCCTCAGACCGGGAGCTAAGTATCTGGTTGTATGCTCAGTCAATGAAGGTGGTTACATCCCGTTCAGAGTGGGAGGAGCGCGAGCCAATGTCAGCGTGCCTCCCTCGGACCATACCCCGAGGCAGCCAATCACAATGGATTTCCCCTTGCTACGTCACAGCTCCTCGGCCAATCCACGCGCCCAGATGCTACCTCCTTGTTAATTTTGGCGCATTGTACAGCATAAGGAGGTTCAGTGTACTTTCTACTGCTATTTTTGATAACTTTTCGGCGTAACATTGACATTATTCGTGGTCCACGGGTGTGAGAAGTGCTGTGCAATATCTGCCCGATATTAGCGCAAGACTCGAGTGAGGCCAGGCCTTCTGGTGTGGATTCAGGAGCCCATTATTCCCGAGCGTGTGTTTAATGACGACAGTGCTCACGTGGACACCCCAGGAATGCTTGGTGATAATGATTTTGGTATACTCATTATACAAAAAGTGACTGCTATGCATCACAAGACCTTTTTGCAGACTGTGTTCTGGTACAGAGTTACGTGACATGCACTGACGGCAATGATGACGATGAAAGTGAAGATGAAAATGATGAAAGTGAGTCTAATGGTAACACAAATAGTAACACTAATTTATCACAACAAGAACATACAGACTGTGAGGAGGTAGAAGTGGACAGAGACAAGAAAGTGAGCCTAACCCAACGAATGCTAATGAAGGTAAGACCTTAACTCAGTCTTATAATGAACCTGAACTGTTGCCGGCATCAATAATCAATAATTTAGTTGATGAAGAATCTGTGTGGCAATTTTTAGAGAGGATAGAGAAAGACTTTGATCAGTACGTGATTGATTATGACGAGGCCATTAAAGTTTACACACTCCTCAGGATTTACGTAACTTCAAGGATAATAAAACGAAGGAACTAAACAAAGTAAGACTGTAATATTATTAACTTAATACTGTTTTTACCAAAGATTATGCAAACTTTCTCCGCCTTGTATTCCTATGTTAATTACGTTGGGGAGGGGGGGGGGAGGTTAATGGTGGGGGGATGAGTGTAGTGGTGTTTCCTTATTATTACACACTATTAAACTTAACAATATTATAAATCTTTGGCTAAAAATAGGGAGGGAAAAATAAATACTGATCGGCAAATGAGTTTTTTATCATTATTTCATCTTTTAGGGGGCATTTGGGAGGGTTTATGGGTGGGTGGGTGTAAGATGAGTGTTGTTTTTTGGTGATCATTAACTTGTTCTACAGTATTAGTCCATAATAATAAGAAAATTTAGGAGAAAAATGCTATTATTGTTGGTTTGAAGATCAAACAACTACACATGACGGGTAGATATTCTCATTCAACTCGCGATAAAATAATAACTATTCACAGTACTAACTTCCAGTTTTCACAGTTCGCTGGGAGAGGGGTTGAGCTGCACAATAAAAAAATGAACCCTCTAGCTTAAAAAACAACAAAGTTATGGTTGTTTAAACTTCGAAAAACTTTAAACGTGTTTTCTCCGCTTTTTAAATTTGGCGCTTCACCCCTTTCTAAAGCAGAGCGCCTCATACATTGTTTGAAAAAAAATTTGTTGAGTACCTTTTAATATACTTTACTGTATTCTCCAACATCTTGCAAATCTATAAGCTTAATGCATAAATTAAAACATCTTATAGAAATATCATGCACCAACAAATTCTAATACAGTAGTAAGTACAGTACTATCACGGAGACATTTTAGGGTGGTGAAGAGAGAGAACATCGTATAACTCAAGGGAGAGATGATGGCCTCCTTTGTTAACCCCTGCTTCATTATACCCATGATTCAAGTTTAACCAAATGAGACATGAAGATGATGGTTGTACAGATATGCAGAGATGAAAAACTGTAAATGAGAACCTACAATGGTTACCTAATGTATCCCACAAAACATGTTGTGAATACAAGAAAGGAAAGAAATATTTTTACTGACCTGTGCAGAGAATCAGTTTTCTCTGGACAGCGGCAAGAAGCCAGCAGTAGGGAGCGTAGAATGCTGATCAAACGCAGGCAGTGACTGTCCTCTTCCTCATCTGGACTGTTCTTATCAATGTGGAGGACCAGGTTGTAAAGAACCTTTAAAACTTCATTCACTAACTCTGCTTGCTCCTCCTGAAGTGAAATTATTTATATTATTGCACTTCCATCACAACAGGTAGCAATCAAAGACTTGTGCAAATAAATAAATGAATAATAACTCGCTCACAAACTAATTTTCTAACATAATTACATTATTAATTAAATCTAAATTATGTCTGGCAAACATCCACTTTCATATAAGATTTTACTTTGATTTTCATATAAAAATAAGTTAGAGAATGAGGATACAGTGTTAAAGCCGAGGTTTCTTCAACCTACATTAAAAAGTACTGGGCACGGTATGTATCCATTGATTGAATGTATTTCACTTTCTTCCTGGGCAGTTTTCAGCGACAAGTCCAGGATCTCAATTAAGTAGGTGAGGCCATGGTATTCAGATCTCAACTGTGGTCTGTGGAGAGAAATTAAATAAAAAAAAAAATACTGTACAATATTTATATTATTTTATGGAATGGAAAAAAATATTTAATGGGGAAAGATTAGGAAATATTTTATAACTCAAAGGGGAGAGAAAATGAAGAAATTTCATGAATTGAGTATGGTTTGTGCGACATACACTTGAAGATCAAATTATTAGTTTACAGTAAAAAAAAAAAAAAAGTTTAAGAGAATGATGTAGTACTGTACTCAACTACAGTACCAAAACTGCTCAATGTCTTTGAGGCTGGCTCAGAGAAAACATATACTGTACTGTACATGAGTAATGGGGAGCAAGTTAGGTTATTTTAGTTAGGTTTTGTCTTATGACCTAACAGGCCATGTCCTAACCTTCTAACCTAATATAAAAAGTGATTTGCCCCAAAGACAAATGTCAGAATCATCTAAAACAGCAAGAAAACTAACAAAAAAATATATTTTTCATGTGAAAAAAGGTGATGGGCGGTTAACGAAACGAGAGCGACGCTGCGTGTCACCATAACATCAAATTGGGACTTCAAAAAATTTGTGATTTTACAACTATTAAATCGCGAATATCGCATTTATTTTTGGAATGCGCCGCTTAATTCAAGTATATTCTTTCGTTACTCGATGAGATCTGCTAAATGATAAGAAAAAATATCGCAATCAGGTGATGGGTTGATCATGAAAAATACCCCTCTCTTTTTGGCTTTATTATTCAGGAAAGCCATCAAGTGGCCATTCAATATTAACTTTTTCTCTTCAATGGCATCCACCAATAATAAAGTCTGGTCTGCTGTCCAGCTGGGCTTCCTTTTCTTTCATGGGGTTGAGACTTCCATTTCCTCAATAACATGTTTGTTTACAAACAGCACAGCAAGGAACACTATCCTTGGTTAATAAATCCTCCTTCAAACTGCTAAGATTAGATTTTGTTTATTTTAATGATCAAAATGTATATAAATGTAAATATTGATATTACTCTTCATAATATTATTGAGGTTATTCAGCCATAATACCATTTTATATGATGAACTCCTGCTATCTTTAGCGCTGATTAGCGGTACTTAACAAAACTATTTGTGCGGTATAAGTTTGCTAGTTAAGCTTTGTGTATAACTTTTAAATTTTATTTCTAGCTAACAGTACTATTATGCCATTAGCATAAAGTTTTGTGTATACAGGTCCTGCATTTTATGGGTTCTCAAACAGATTAAAGAACTCATTATAATACTAATTTATGATCCTGATGTTATTTATATAAAGACAATCTACCAAGCAACCAAAACATTTGGAGAATGATGTGATACCCTCTCACACTCGGGTTCTCATTGTGGTGTTCACAACCCTATACTGTACAACAGTAACAAAGAAGGGTACAACATCTACACACCTACATAGATAAATGAATTTTACATGTCAATGTTTATCTTCTTAGAGCCTGTTAAGTACGGTGAGATCCACTTTGGCTGTTTTTTTTTTTTTAATAAAGGATTTACTGGGTTCCTGTCTCTGGAAATTATTTGTTTCACTGTTTCACAGTGCAGTATACGGCACTGTAATATGTAGGAAGCAGTGAAACAAAAATTTCCAAAAACAGGAACCCAGTAACACCCACTTTTTTTTAATAATAATCTGCACACAAGCTCTTACTACAGGTGTTTCACAAAACTTTTCTACTGACTGGTAAAATACATTACTGGTCCCCAAAAATTTTATTTACCTGATATCTCCACAGAACGCAGTCAACAGGAACAGAAGTCGCATGTCAAAGTACTTGACAATGTGTGGCAATTCTGGGTCCCTAAACGTCTTCAGGCGGCACATCAGTCCCGGGACACAGCTATTGATGCAGCACATCCTCTGAATGGAGCTGCTGTTGTACACCAGGTTACTTAAGCACTTCTGGGCTTCTATCACAACTACAAAAACCAAGAAAACTGTGTGAGCCTAAAGTAGGATATTCTAAACACAACAATGGAAAAACCTCTCTATTAGACCAGCATCCATAAAAAAGAAGGAAACTCATGAAATTAAATGTCAAAATAAACAGTGTTACTGACTTTCCATATACAAACAGCTGTATTGTATACTATACTGTACACAGGTTTGGATATTTTATTTTTAGGATCATTGGGTCAAGGTCTTTGGTTCTGTTTTAATACAATTTTTGGGCCTTGTTTACAGGTGGCTGTCAAAAAAGACTTCTTTCTAAAATATGCACATGGAAATGTAAGTACAGGCACTGTACTGTACAGTACTGTATTATAATACAGTAATCAACTTAAATTGAAAACTTTATAATGTATAATTGCAGTCCTGCTGCAGGAATATAAAATGTCATCAATAATATTGGCTAACTATTTAAGAAGGTTGTTAATATAGATACCGTACTGTACTGGACAGGTATCCCTTGATACAGTATATGAACGTTCGAGACATAAAAATTCGCTTATACGAATATCTTAAATTATCAAGTAACATACAAAAAGTCTCAAAGTCCTTAAATGGGAAAATAATATTGTTATTTTAAATCAATCAATAAGGTAGCATCATTATCATCTTTAGTACATGTATGTCTACTATGTGTATGCAGGATGACTGAGTCTGTCTATTTCAACTTTCATTTATGGTACCTGTAATACTGAATTCTATGGTAATGTGTTGGGGTACCTGACTGACCTGCAGCAACATCCATTAGCCCTACATAAGAGATCTTGTATTGTACTGTACAGCAAACCAAGCAAAAATGGTGTTGGACATCACCCACTTAAATAAATATCGATAATTGAAAAATGACAGTGGGAAATATCACTAACAGTCAAATTAAATAAAGAATAAAATGTGGAACAGTCATCTCCCCAATACAGATCTGCCAAGAGAGCCGTGTACAGTGTCTGACAAAAAAAAGGTGTGGACAGTTGACTTACAGTATGGTGTACAGTACAATGCAGTACAATATAGTGAAATGACTAAGGAGGAGGGGATCAACTCATCTAAGGCTTTGGTCCAGTGAACCTAAATCTTTTCTAGCTCTCAAAATAAACACTGGACCAGGAGGTTTGAGTTCTGTTTCACCATTGTTCACTGGATAAGGAGTAGTGTTAAAGTCCTTTTATTGATCTATTGGACAGTGTAGCCTACCACTGGACCATACCAAGCCCCTATGCCAGATGGCAGGCTCTGGCATGCATGTTTTATATAATGTACTGTATCTCACAGGTCACTCACAAACCACCTAGGCTATAAAATAACAAATGAAAAATTTTCCATTGTGAAACCAACCCCAACCTGACAATATCCCAATAAAATGTGATGCCACTGTACCGTCATAATTGATTTGCTGGTTCAGACGCTCTAGGGCCTCCTCTTCTGGGACAAGGCCGGCCAGGCGAACAATGACAGCCAATCTGTCACTGTCAATAACCCTATGTAGAGATGACTTGTCTCGACTGCAAAAAAAAATAAAAAATTTATACTGTATTATTACTGAGTGCACCTTAAACTTCTTTTGAGAAAAGTTCTTAAAGCTCTTCTTGAAATATATTTCATACATAATATTTCCAAAAAGAAAGGACTGGTTCATTTTCTTCACCAGGTGATGGTAGCTTAGCTCATTTTCTTCACTTTTAAATGAGGGGTAAATTAATTTTCTTTATCAGTAAATGGGAAGGAACTTGGTTTTTTCTTTGGTAACTTGGGAATTGGTTCATTTTCTTCACCTTTTATGGGAAAACAGTTTATCTTCTCTATAAATAATGAAGAAGAAAACAAAACTGGTCAAACCATCTCACCTCAGAATTCTTATGGCCGAGAGACAAGTCTGGTGAGTGGTGCTGGCCCCAGTGTCACTTAAGCGCCCCATGATGACATCCCATAGACGGTCACAGCAGTGTGGTTCCAGCCCCACAGGAGTGAACTGTTTCTCATACTATTTTCAGAGACAGGAATAACATTACTACAGGTAAAAGAGTGAAGTGATGATTATTATATTCATTACAAGGAAAAATAACAGTAGCAGTCACCAAGACAAGAACAGTCACCAAGAGATAAGAACGGGCCCTTATACAGTACTACTGTACCTGATAAATATAAAGACAAACACACCCTTATTATGGAGCAACAACAAAAGTGTGGCATTATTTGTACACATACTAATAATGAAAACAATAAAACTCTTATTCTATGACAAATATTGAAACTGGGGTAAAATGTTTCTTTATACAACTGTAAAAGCAACAGATCACTAATTAGAGGAAGAATGCTAAAATCTCACTTGTAAAAGTTAATTACATGGTATACCATGAATACTACTGAATATTATACATTACGCTGTGTACTTTATACACTATGCCACATCCACTGTTATATACAGGTACTGTACCGGGTATATACAGTACTGCGTATGTATACAGTATTACTAAATATGTTTACCTACCTTAACCAGAGTCCATAGAAATCTCACAAAGAATCATGACACCTGGTACCAATACAAGCAAGACAACATGCAAATAGATACCATGAATTATTTTCTTCACAAGCTGAAAATATGGGTACAGTATGAATTAGCTTAAATCCACCACTTGGGTTACTTTTTATGGGATCTTTACCGGTATGTTTTAGTACTATACACAGAATGAATCTAAGGAGGTTAGTTTCAATTTGTTTGTGTTGTAAGTACTGTACAGCAGTTATGTATCATTTACACCACAGCTACATAACTACATATCTTTGCATTGAAAACTTAATTTTAATTTTGTATGTTTACATTTTTCCCTTGTTCCTTCTGATTTGCATTTTATGACATATGCACTTGCAAAGGCCTTCAGTATGACACAGGATGGATGGAATAAAGAGAAAAAATACACACCGGTTATTATTCGGTTTAGCACATCTTCAAATCGCATAGAAGCAAATACTTTAAGGCAATTTCTACCTCATATATACATTCCTCAACCCTTGAAGCCTCTTGGAAACATGTTTCTTTCAGAAAAATCGCACAAGTGAGGAACGCCTAAGAAATTAGATCAATAAATCTCCACCCACCATTTCTTGTCCCACCGCGAGCTGTTGGGGTTAGGGCTCCCCACAGGGGTTAGGTTAGGTTAAGGTAGGTTAATTTAGTGAAAGTTAGGGGTCTAGGTGTTTGGTTTCTGATGTATTTGGATATAGTTTGTTGAGATATCACCTTCGTTTTTGATGAAAAATAGCAATTTTTGATCATGGGGTCACTTGCATTTTTTTAAATGACTTATTTCCCATGGAAACGAAGGTCAGATCTGAACAATACACATCAAAATACATCAGAAATCAAACATCTCGTGAAAAAATTTGAGGGTGTGCTAAAACGAATAATTACCCAAACATCTACATAGTAATGCGTAAAAGAAAGGAAGCCAAACACAAGTCCTGACCTGAAGAAGACAATCCCTGAATTGAAACTCGATGCAAGAAAGATCTGGATATTTATGTTGACAATGAACTTAAGTTTTTAGATCATTTTGAGAAGCAGCTGAATTCTGCGAAATGAAACCTCACTTGGAGTATTAAAATTCTGCTTAGTCTCTGACATATACCAACTACAGGTACCGTAATACCGAATGATAAAGAGAAACTCAGGAGGGCTACCAAACTGCTGCCAATACTCAGACTCCTCACTCACAAAGAGAGCTTTATACATTAATAAATGCTTAGTTTGTTCTCCTTATGGAAAATAACTGATAAAATATGAGTTCATAAGCACCACAAAGAGCATTACCAATGTCAAAGGTACACAATTGGAGTTAACAAAAGGTCACCTATTCAATGGCATAGCTTTAAGTTAAAATACTGATTAATTATCATAACTATCTCGGCAAATTTATAAATAACCTTCAAGCAAATGTTGTGACATCAAGTGTGGAATCCTTTAAGTCCAGGCTTAAAAACACGGTATTATTGCAATTTCAGCCCCAACTCGGTTACAGCAATTTGGTGTTTGTCATTAGTTATATCTCATCAATAGGAAAAACATTTCCTAATACAGTACCACTTCTGTCGCAAAAGGATACTAACCGAGATAGTAAATTCACGTAGGAAATTAACGCAAATCTGCAGTCATCGCCTGTCGTCTGTTTGTTTAAAACTGACCTGCTCGGTCTGAGTGTACTCTCACATCCACAAAAAATGTAAAATTACACGATGATGCTTCAACAAAGTTACTTTCATTGGTACCAGATATCAAAATAAGTACTTTCTGTTTAATATAACGGGGATGGCTATGAAGTTAAGTAAGGTTAGGTAGGTCTCTTTGGTTGGTTAGGTCAGGTTCTATGGGGGGGGAGGGGGTGATAACCCCAAAACGACTAATTTCCGATGGAAATGAAGATCAAATTCGAATGAATCACACCAAATGCCATGTGAAAAACAAAAATTGGTATTATTTTACTTTAGGACATAGTGTGTCCGAAAGTTATAAACTACTGAAACATTTAGATCTCCTTATTCTGAGCATTTTGAACCCCATTTATACCATTTGGAAATGGAAAATAGTGACAATTGAATTTAATTGATCTTACGAACTTTTCAATCTTCGTCTGTGAAGAGATGTTATCGGCGTGAAACCGAGTTAAATATGGATCACGCATGCGCAATATTGACTGACATCAAAAAATTGTGACCAATGATGTATAGATATCATCCCACGATTTTTTTTTTTTTACCAATCACATTTGAATTTTTCAAAGCGGCCTGGGTACGGATTTCAAAATCTACGGATTTAAATTCAATGACCAGTTTGACAATGGCCATGGTCGAGCTTGGGTGTCAATTATGCTCCAACGATTATTTTAAGTTTATGCTGAGTTTTACAAGAAAGACGATCATTCTATGCAATTCCTATGCAATCACGGTGCTCTCCCTACGTCTGTTGAGTGCCCTCACTGTAAATTGCCTTGTAAATATAGCGCGACTCTACCCACCTCAAGGACCAAGAAACCACCCAGGCAAAGGAACGTGCTGCACCTGTGCCACTCGAAGAAGGGTCCGACGAGGAGGAGGGCAATGACCCTGAACCTATCCCTGGTCCTTCCACTTCTAACTAAGGTATTGTAATTTTGGACATGGCACAACCCAAAATTTTAAACTTCTGAAACATTTAGGTTAGGTTAGGTTAGTTTAAGCTAGGCTCTGGGGGCAGAGCTCCCAGCTAGGGGTTAGGTTAGGTTTTGTTTCGTTAGATAACTCATTTTCGTTTTCTCTCGCACCCAAAAACCCCGATTTCTCAGGCTCTACCCTATTATTGTTGGGGGAAGGGGGTGGGGGGAACTATAAACTTCCCCAAAATGTTAGTCAAATTCGTTTAAAACACACCAAAATACACTGGTAAAACATATTGGTCAACCCCTAGGGACTCATGTCCTAAAGTAAAAATTTACCCCAAAATTTATGGTCGAGCTGTAGTTGGGGCTGAAACTGCAAATTTACCAAAAACACTGGGGCATATTCAGGTAAAGTCAAGAACCCGTGCATACCCAGTACATGCCAAGAGTGTGTCACAGAGAACTAACTGACCAGCTAGAATGTTGACAAGTGGTAAAGAGTCTTGTACTATAAATTGACCAAGGATAGTCCTGTAAGCATACGTACAGGTAGTAACATATGTCAAATGTTTCTGACTGAATTTTGAAAACGGGCACTTCATCTTGCAATCAAATAAGGCGACTTTAAATGATGGCAGGCAGGCTAATTTATGAACCTGTGTATGTGCTAGTAGTTCACTTACTTAACACTCATATACTGTGCTATGGGTCTTTAGCGGAACTACCTTCCATACTGTTAGGAACTCAGAAACCGGAGAAGCTTTAAGAGACATTGTGATGTACACACGAGAGCGGTACAAGAGAAGATGGTAATCAACGTAAAATTGTGTCTCCATACCAACAGTCACCAGTACCCACCTTCCTTATAAACTCCTTCAACAGCCGCACCACATCTTGGTCATTACCGGTTTCTAACAGCTTTATAACAGACTCCTCCATGATAGACCACCTTCAATTACCCTTCCTTGTGTTACGCAGTGGTTTTCACTCTAACTGCCCCTTTAAGTAAACACTGTTAGGGCTTCCTCGTCCTCCTCCCTGACACTCCCAGCACCAGCAGACAGCTTGTAAACATTGTGCCTTCACTTACAAACAATTTTTTTAAATATTATTCTGTTTAAAAGGCAAGATGAGTGATAACTGTATCTTAGTTTTATTAGTGTAGCTATATATATAATATTTTACATAAAATAATGCAATATATATATATTGCTTTTTGTGGTTGTATATTTATGTTATTTGTAATGTCATAATTGAACGTACTCGGTTGAATCTATTTGATGAAGTACCCCTTTCCCTTGTTTACGTCATTAAAAGGGAGGGGCCTTTTACCATTATGCTTAAATAATTCAGATATTCCCCCCACCCCCATTCACTTTCATGCAAGTTCTCTTTTATCTGAAAAATCCTCCTATTGGCTTACCATGACCCGCCCAGTCATATAGCTAGGGGCCTTTATAGAGAAAGAAAAAAGTGAATCTGTGTGCCTCTGTCTGTGCACTTAAAAAAGCTCTTTAATACATCAGCTCGGCCATCGGCGGACCAATTGCAGTGATAATTAGTTCAGGGATGGGAGACTATCCTAACAAGAGCTGCAGTTATTTTGATAATATATATAAATATATATATATATATATATATATATATATATATATATATATATATATATATATATATATATATATATTAGGTACCTACTGTAATATTAATATTCTACATATTGTCCGGCAATCTACACATATTGTATGAATGTAGACAGTCTAGTTCATACATTATAACATATGTGATATTGAGAGCAGAAAGTTTTTTATCCTTCAACAATGTTACTGTTTATCCCTCCCGCTGTTGTTTGTTTGTTTCATAAATGACATGCCTGACGTTGTACACTCCTCCATAAAATGTTTGCCGATGACGCTAAGTTATTTCGGGAAATCAAGAACCAAGCGGACTGTGAAGAGCTGCAGAAGGACCTCTGTGGGCTCCAGGAATGGTCGAAGAAATGGCTGCTGAGATTCAATGTCACGAAGTGTAAGAGGATGCACCTGGGGCGTACCAACGGTAAGGAGGCGTATCATATGTCCCAACGGGATGAAGAAACTGCACTATTTGAGACTAAATGTGAGAAGGACCTAGGTGTGTATGCTGACAATGAGCTGAAGTTCTCGGGCCATTGCGAGAAGAAGGTAAATCAAGCAAATAAATTATTGGGTCTTATTAGAAGGTCGTTCAGATATCTAGATGGTCCGTCCCTCGTAACGATCTTCAAGAGTGAAGTGGTTCCCCATCTGGAGTACTGTCACCCCGTCTGGTCCCCGAGATATGCTAGGGACTGTCAGTTGGTTGAAAATGTTCAAAGGAGGGCCACCAGACTGGTGCCTGCCTTTCGGCACCTCAGCTACCCTGAAAGATTGGAGTACCTGAACTTGCCTAGCTTATACTACAGACGGGCAAGGGGGGGACCTAGTTGAGGTGTATAAGCATCTCAGAGGGCACTACTCAGTCGAGTGTCCTTACTTGGAGCTGGTGGACGCTCGCCCCACAAGGGGTCACAGCTAAAGATTGAAGAAGCCACAAGTCCAGAAAACTGTGAGGGCAAACTTTTTCGGAGTGAGGGTTGTAAACTCTTGGAACAATCTACCAGAGAGTGTTGTAACGGCACCGAGTGTGAGCTCTTTCAAGACAAGACTTGACCAACACTGGAGCGGGTTCAGGTACATTCAGGAGCCGGTGCATGCCCAGTACTTGCCAACAGTGCGTGACAGAGACGTGACCGATCGCCCGGGCTGCTAGCGAGCCGATCAGTGGTGAAGAGGATAAAAGTAAAAGAAAAGAAATGGTCTGAAGCATTTTATTAGCAGTGGTTATTAAGGAACAGTCTTTATCAACACTGATCTAATCATTTATATTAACGGTGAGGGTTTGTATTCAATTACTAATCAGCGAAAACAAATCTTGCAATTTTCTGGAGGTATGAGTACTTTAGCTTATAGATTGATTGAACTTATTGTCCCTAGGTATTTCTCCATTGCCATTCCTTCCTCCCCTCCTCTCTCTTGTTCCTGCCTGATATAAAGACCAAATTATTAAATTATATAATTTATCTCTCAACCTTTCGCTATTAATCGCTCACTATACCTATCTTCCTTACGTCCTCGTCACACACACACTTACCTCTCCCTCTTTTGCCTTGTACGAGGAATATCATAAGGAACTAAAATTTCCTTATATATTAGTTACGTCTGACACTAGCACCATCTATTGGACAAGCCAGATATCATAGAAAATGGTGATTGTCCTTGAAATGTTATTTTTAACGGTAACTAGTATTTCTCGCTGATTTTACTCTATCATTGGCATTCATTTAATTATCTATTTGTATTTTTTACCATTTACTATTCACCACTTATCACCTTATTATACATTCGGGCAATTTGTCTGGAAATGTAAACAAACCACATTCTTACTTTTCTTCCATTGGTTTCCGACATTTCTAATTGTAAATCTGAAGATAAATTTATATTAGAAACAACTTTAAAAGGAGGGGGTACTAAATGGGTGCTACTGGACAACCAAGTTCACAACAAAGTAGCAAATAAGAGACCTGCCGCTCGAATGGCGATTAAGTGGTGAAATGATAAATTAAATTGCAATTATAATCTCACCTTTCCCTGTCTTTGAGAAGAAATGAAACCTTAAGTCTCCATCATTTCCTTTGTTTTTCCCCACAAACAACACAACGGTGGACCGGTTTTTGGAGTTACTTGTTTATATCTACGTTTGGCCCTACAAGGAAGATGTTAATTGAATCAAAATAAAAAAAAATCCATTTGAGGAGAACTTAACTAAGGAATGAAGTTAAATAAAACAAGTGTACCTGTATATGGATAGCCAGGTTAGGTAGAATGTGTGTGTGTGTGTGTGTCTGTGTGTGTGACTTTTCTGTGTGTTGATTTCTGAGCACGTGTGTGTGTGTCTGTGTGTGTGGCTTTTGTGTGAAGGTTTATTTATGACCAAAGGTGTGTTAAGTTTTTGTGTGTGTCACTTGTGGGTATACAGTACAATGGCCTGCTGATGATTACGTGGACATTTTAACATAATATCTGCATCGATATAATCACATTTAGGTATAATTGATCTATCCTTTAATTTTAACTTAATAAATCCCCACTGACTAAACACAAGAACAATTTATTCTCGTTATTAAACATCAACTTAAAACAAATGAATGAAACTCGAATGTACATTTATACACATAACTAGTAGCCTGTAGAAAAGCTATTTAATAATTCTTTACTGCTCTTTTTCTAGGTTTATTAATATAATATCTAATGACTCGTCAGCTATTGATAGAAATATTTAGTAGGTTACAATTAGCAAAGGCTGGTAGGAAATGTGACAAAAGACTTCTCCCTCGACTGGGAAAATTTAGAACAATAACAAAGATGGCGTCGACGGCAAGTACGCTTGGGGAGTTTCCATGTTGGGGTCTTCTGCCGAGGTAATTATGCTACACTATTACCTGTACTTTATTTCTAAATGACCAGGAAACATAGAGTAATAAGTTTAAGGATTCTATAGAGTGTAAATGTAGCTAATAGTGTGTATATGAGGGATTCAAATCAACAGTGTTAGCCTCGAACCCTTGTTGAATATATATCAGACTAGTAGTTGTTATGTCAGAAGGCCAGTACTATGTCTACCACTGATTATCTTTGACTATTTTGTTCTTTCACGCCAATCCTAGCATTGTATTTGCAATAGGGTGACAGTGAGAAATATATAAGTACTGTACTTTATTGACATTTTGGTACATCAAGGATCAAGGTTTATGAGGCTAAGTATTGATTACTCCCTATGTATTCATATCTGTTGTATGTTATGTATTTTTTATTATACAACAACTACTTAGTTTTCTTCCCAAATACACGGTGGTTATTGAGACGTTTTGGGTTTTGTCATAATTATTCATCAATTAATAAGGAGCCTGTAGCAGCTGACCTTGGTCCAGCTGCCAGAGTAATGCACTTTTACTAGAGAATTAAGAATGCAACTCCTACATACAGAATTACTCAGGTTATTGTTATCGTTTCGGGTATCCGGCGATTTTTATATATTTTTTAATCGGTAGTTTATAGACAATTCTAAGAGATTATTCTTCTCTGGCATTTTGCCCGCTCATTGATAGTTAAAGAGATAATCTCGCTGCATTTTTGGAAAATTTATTAAATTTTTCCGAGTTATGGTTGATGTTAACACCGTCCCTGAGAGCTCTCGTGTGTTTGTTCGTAATTACGCTGGATTACGCATGGGCTAGAGTCTGACATGTTCATTGGTGGGTATGATTTTGGATCAACCAATCACAGCTTGGTATAGGTGCCCCCACTGCGACCCCTTTGAATTTGAATTTATTTCCTTGTGCAATGGCTGTGATGTAAATTACTTCCAAGCACTCGCAAGATTTCACATTGAGTATTACGTTAAGGATGGTGAGGCGTTGAAATTTCTCCAGGAACATGGTGTGTTACCAACTGATTGTACCTATATGTTGCTTTATTCATACTGCCATGACAAGGTAAAGTGTTTACGTTGCTGTCATAACACATTTTCATACAAGTTTATCTTAAGTTAAACGCATAATGCTGTATGAGTGTTTTAAATTAAGTTTTAAATGATATTTATTTCTGTGTTTATTGTACTTTTGTAGAATCATTGAGACCATTCTTGTATCTTTTGGGGGCCATATACCAGAGATATTGCTGCTGTTTTTTGTGTGTTTTTCCTCACCCCAAGCAAGATTCACTTTTGGACTTGTTTCATGGGGGTAATAATATTTTTTCTTCATAAATTTGTTATTTGGCAAATTAAACTAAATGTCATTTTATTCCCACACTTGGCCTCTGGGAATTGAAGTACTGAGTTTGTGTTTATGCCAAACACAGTACTGTAATAACAGTTGTAGGTCTAAGTTAATGTTTAATATTTTTAACCCCATCTGACTATACCAGCAGATTATAAATAAAAACAGTTAAGAAAATCCTAGGTGCAGAACTCTAGGATAACCCCTTTCCTTAACATTGAAAAACCAACCAAAAATAACCTAAGGTCGTTACTTTATATAAAATTTGGATTGTTCGGTTCATATTTTATCATGCAGTAAATGCCTAGAACTGTAGTCTCATTAACTTGTTTTTGTTGACAAGACAGTAATGCAGTAATGCTTAGTTTAAGATTGCAAAGCCTTTTTTCATAGGCTTATAATCATTCTTTCCTTATTCCCCACTGGATAAGCTTTCTGTACATTAAAACAAACATACCTTGCTGTTTAGTAAAGATTCCACAAGACTATCATGAACACTTGATGCCACAAATAAATTGGTTCCTTCATCTCTTACAGAAAAGAAACTGGGGTTGTAAGTTTAATCACAAAGAACCCAACATTTGATGGCCGAGGTGTTGTCATCGCTATCTTTGATTCAGGCGTAGATCCGGGTGCTCCTGGACTTCAGGTAAGGCCAACACTAATACAGGGTGGTCCAGTTTAAGTGAATCATGTTGAAAATTAAATAAAAATTCAGGAAATGGACAAAATCTGTATTTAAGCAGTTAACAAGTTTCTGAAAACCTTTGGAAACAATAGTTATTAATGTTTGAAAGTTATGTCATCCAAATGTGCACCCCTCTTCGCAATACACTTCTGCACTTGTTGGCGAAAGTTGTGTATGACTACGAAGCACATCTGGAGAAATGGCATCAACCTCCTGGCAAATGCTGGCTGCTGCACCGGCCAACGATCCATTGTGCACTGAATCCAAGGCCACGCGCCACCAACTGCCATCCCCGCTTCCTCCTCCCACTCAAACCCTTACCCAGTGTTGCCAACCTAAAACTGGTTCACTTTACTTGGACCACCCTGTACACTACTAAATGTCACTAAATAGTCACTACTATGGTGTATTGAAACTAATTGATGCATGGGGTTTAATGGTTCATGTTTGAAAGAATAAAAAGGTTACTTGTGTAACATATATTGAAATAAGTGACTGTAAAATATTAGGAAATAGTCCATTAAAACATACTGAACATGGATATTAACATAACGTGTTCTTCAAATTCCCAAATAAGAATATAAGAATACACCAGAAGATGGATTTACTTAATTATAAATATCATGTTACCGCTTGTCTTTGCTCTAGTTTTCTGTTTACAGAGGAATTCAGGTTGCATGTACAGTATACAGGACTGTACCTTGATTACTAATTATATTAGTGTACAGTTTTGTGAGTGGGATGGCTAGGCAATATTGATTGTGATTGTTAATATTCTTTTAGGTAACAACAGAAGGAAATGTAAAAGTTATAGATCGGATCGATGCATCAGGAGCGGGAGATGTGGACACCTCGACAGTGGTGCAGCCAACAGATGGTATTATCACTGGTATTAGTGGACATAAACTTACGGTAAGTTAAAAGTGGTGGTCCCGGTTGTCTGTACAGTGCTGTGAGAGTTGGTTGAAATAGTCGTTTAAATTTTCTTTGGATTGGTTGTTTACGAGCTCATCTCCCCACCACTATGACACTTCCCGCCCACTCCACTGACTCATCATCATGAATTTCTGTTGTCCATGGATTGTGATGTGTGCTCTACACCCTTATATTCTGTTTGCCATGGGAAGCTAACACCTTTTTTCCATTGAACCAAGATATCCACATTAGCTGACTTTTCCTGAAGCATAACCCTCATGTACAGTATAGTATTACTGTACTGTACAGTATCTACATTATAGTATATATTTATAAAGCTTATACTTATCTCGCAAGAAAGTTAAGAGTTGTTTATAAACGGTTTGGTGAAAAAGTGTTATGTTAAAATTTTAATATGTACACATTTCCAGGTTCCTGAGTCTTGGGTGAATCCTTCAGGGAAGTTTCACATTGGGTTAAAGAGCGCATATTCACTTTACCCTCATCGGTTACAAGAGAGAGTGTTAAAAGAAAGAAAAGAAAAAAATTGGGATCCCATCCACAAAGAGTTGTTAGCTGAAGCTCAGAGGAAAGTACAGGTACAGTAGAGTCAGGTGTTTCTTCTAGTTAATATGAATATGGATAATAGTACAGTGCTGAAGATGTGTGATATGGATCTTTTTTATGTAACTTTTTCTTGAAAAATTAATTTCATATTATCATGGCCCTATCTCTTGAACTTAATACAGTACAGTACTGTATCATCTAAATTGGGGGACTCACTTTGTATACAAGTTGAGGGTACAAGAAAGTGTGTGTGTGTAGCTCAGTATTACTAGAGCTACTCATCAGCACCATCATCATTGTTTTACAGCCATTATCTTCACTTGTGTGGGTGTACCTGATGGCATGGTGTCCCAGTTGCCATCAGGTGCATTTGAAACAAGATTTATATCTGGATGTCTTTCCTCTCACCATTCCAATTTTACAGAGTGGGAACTGGATATTATATACTGTACAGTACGTAGAGTATTGGACTTACAATCACCCTCTTAGCTAGCAAAGGAGACTTGTTATTCCTTCAATTACCTGCCTGATTTTTGTGATCATGGAAATGACAGATTTCACCCAAATTACCTTTATGAATTGGAAGTCCTTATTACTGAGCAGTATAATTTCTTCTTGTCAAACCACTCTATCCAGGAATAACTTTATAAATCAAATTAGCAATATGTATAGGGGACCAAGAATGATCTTGTGTATATCATGTAACTCGAGTCAAGGGGAAGGAGACCTGCTTAGGGGGGAGGTATTGCATCATGCTGTGATATTAATACATTTATGATTGTACACATTACCAGACATTGGAAAGTCACAAAGCCGAAGCCCGCCATTTAAAACGTTATGAAGCCATCTAAAGAATCATTAAGCTGAAGCCGAAGCAAATGCTTTTTAAGGCAACACAAAACAGTAACACCCTAACTTAATACAGCATAATATACCATACTGTATTACCTTACCTCTTAATGGGAATACATATGATACTGTATATTAAGTTGCAACAAGGCTATGAGATAAGCTGACATTAATTTAAGCTGATTGTTCTTAAGGCAAGTTTTGAGTGAGTGTTGGACAAAACCCCCCAACACATGTAAATTATTTTACAATGACATTATAAATTTATAACTATTATATAGGAGCACAAACTATATTAACATAACTATAAAAATGAACATTATTAAAGGATCATCATACCGTATCTAGCTAAAGTCAGCAAACAAATAAAGCAGAATATTCCAGAGTTCATTAAGTGTTCATGTTCATTTATAGTTCATTTTACTTCCACCTGATGGTGTGACCTACGCCCTTCGGAAGTTCCTCCGGGGTCTTCCTCTCAATCACAAAGTCTAGACACAGGTTTCACTGCTTGAAATATGGTACATAACTGTAGACCGTGTCATTAATAAATGTTATGTAGGACAGCATGACGTGTGTGTGAATTTTACAAGGCTGATATAAATGAGGGCAACCTGTATCTCTGTATAAAGGTGGTGTTATTAAATTTTTCTCTTAGATTAATAATTTGTTTGTTAAATCTCTCATATAAAATTGAGGTTATCATTATGCACTTAGAAGTGTCTTTCATTCCAGTCCTTAGAAAGTAGTAAGAGTAATGGAAGTACCAGCACAAATGGCAATAATGGCAGTAGTAGTCTGATTGAGAAGCTAACCAAGGAGGATGCAGAGGCCAGGGTCTCACAGCTCAACGCTCTAGAGAAGAAGTTCAGCGATCTGGGACCGGCCTATGATTGTGTCGTTTATTATGATGGAGATGTGTGGAGGTGAGTAACGTCTATGAAGGGAGAATTTTGTTAACTGTATAGATAGTGACCAACCTAAAACTGTAACCTCTCCAGGTATCTGAACCACCATTGGTCCCGAGGAGTTCAGATAGAAGGAAATGCACTGTATGGGGGTTGGGGATGTGCAGTGGTATAGCGGATATTATTCCTCGTACGGCGGTGATTGTTACATATAGTTCAGCAATAATTTGGCATCGTAAATGTAAAACCACGGCTCCCTGTAAAAATATATGCTGTAATGGAATATGTCATACCAGGGAATAAAAAGTCAAATTATTCATTGATTTATCATTTAGTAACTACTGTACAGGGATCAATATTATGTTTATTATAATATACATACCAGTACAGTAATTGATGTGAAAGTAGCTACTGAGGTCACTCAAGTTAGCTGACACTTGAAATGTGACACCTTATTTGTAATTCTTAGAAAGAGTTGGAAACTATAGGTGGCTTAGTTTATTTAAGAAATAGCTAGGTTCGGATAGTTATAGCTAGTTTTTTCTTCTGTGTTTGAATTTTAAATGTTAGTGACTTGTATTTAAATACAAATATCAATTCAAGATTGATGTTAAAAGCAAGATGTGGCAATATATTACATGTTGTATTGTGAATGGTATCAATGTGAACCTTTCTGTTACACCAGTCTGCAAACTAGAGGGGATCTCCTGTTCAGTAAATTATTTGTTCTTTCTATACTAGGGAATAAATCCATGTAAATTCCTGTATTAAAGGTAAAAATTATAAATGACCTGAAATGCATTTCTTTCAGGGCATGTATTGACACATCTGAGCGTGGGGACCTGGAGAATGGGATCCACCTGGGGGAGTACAGGGTCACTCACCAGTGGGCATCCCTCACCTCCACCGACCAGTACAACATTTCTATCAACGTACATAATAATGGAAATATTCTCGAAATAGTTGGCATGTGCTGTAAGTTTAACTGGCAGACTTTTTTTTCATGTAGTAATCACAGGGAAAGTGGGATTATGTACTGGAGGCTAAAAGATATCTGTAGCTTTGAAGACAAGCTGTCCAGTAACCTCCAGAATTGATGAAAGGCATCCCTTCATAGCCAGTTTTGTTACTGCTGTTGTGAATGGAATTATTCCTTTTTTGAAAGCATATTTATTTATTTGATGTAGTTTCTTGAGAACTTTTTGAACCACTTTTCATAGTAGTATGTACAGTATATGTAGTATGTACTGTATGAGTCTTGAAAAAATGTGGAATTAGGTACTGCTGTATCTATAACTTCTCTATAATTTGTTGTTCTTATGTGTGTCTTTTCAGCCAGCCATGGTACTCATGTAGCATCCATTGCTTCGGCGAACTTTCCTGACAATCCAGAAAGAAATGGTGTTGCACCAGGTGCTCAGATAGTCTCCATTACTATAGGTAGAGTACTCTTTTGGTTTGTTTATACTTTATTTGGGAAGTAGAAGCGTGTGTATTGACATAGTACAGCATCAAGTTATTTTTGTGGAAAAGTGATATGCTAATGATGGGTATTGCTGGTTTGTGTGAAGTGATAGGAGTAAACTAGATTGGGACCTTGGTTGGGAAGGGAGTACCATAATAGAATACACCTTTTGCAACATTAAGAATGATTAAATAACACTGAATGGTGTGAAAATGTATGTGGGTGTGTGTGTGTCTACACACACACACACACACACACATAATGTAATTTATAATACAGGTAAAGGAAATTACTGTCTCTAGAGCGAATGGCTCCCTGTCCCAGCCGCGAAAATTTTGGCAACTTTAAAACTACCCACAGACATTCTGGGGTACATCCAGGGTGTCATCCGCGAACTTAGGGGAGGGGGGGGGGCTGTATTTTAAGCCAGACGTTCCCCTTCAGGGGAAAAGCCAGAAACAGTAATTCCAAATTCTTGGGTTTATTCAATACAGTATTGTGCTGATGTCACATTTGACAGAATATGTTGGAAGCTTGGTGGAGAAATAGGATAATTAAGAAAAGTGTCTCATAAGTAATGTTTTCATTGTATTGTAACTGCAATTTCAGGTGACAATCGTATTAACAGCATGGAGACAGGAACTGCATTAGCACGAGCAATGTTGAGGGTAATGAAGAACCCTTACTACAAAGTTGATGTTATCAATATGAGTTATGGTGAACATGCACATTGGTCTGATTCTGGGTAAGAATATGATTATTTTTTATTTTTTTATTTTTTTATCTCATAGTGTATATTATGAAACTTAAACCATATGGTATCAGTTATGCTGTGCTCCACAGGTGTGTGACTTGATAGTTCATGTAATCATAAATGATGAGTTAATCAAACCACAATTTTGAATGAATGGGTTTCATATATGTTCAAGTCATTTTTATAGACAAGAAAAGTAGAAATATTGAATACAATAAAGCCTTGTAAAATGCAGTTTGTAAGGTTTGCTCACTAGTCACTCAGCTTAGATAAGAGTCTACCATTTGCCACCTGGGATGTAGTGGTGGCAGGAGCAGTGTCAGCCACCACACATATCTCACAATTCTAAGACTATCTCTGCACCTCTTGCAACGTATGTTATAAATACCGTGACATGTTTGTACTTCTGTGTATGAATTGTGTGTGTATTATTATGGTTCGGAAGCATCCTTTGTAGCCATCTGGTGATGCTGTAGCAAGCAAGAAAGAGAAAAAAAGATTTCCAAAGTAAAAACTAGGATAAAAATCCTCTCTCTTGGTATCTCAATAAACATGTATGACCTCCACAATCTTCAAAGTGTTTTGGGGGTAAATTTATTAGTTTGGAGTATGACATATTTTATATGGAAAATGAATGCTTACTTACTTTTAAAGGTTTGTTGTGTATCTGTTTGAAAGCTCATTTTGTGCATGGTATTTTATATGTTATCTAGGTATCCAAACTTAACCCTTATTTCCCATTAGGAGTTACCATCTCTGATGTACAGCTTTGCATTTTAATGACCACCTGTTTCAGACAGAATTATAAATGTGGGACCTCTGTGCTTGCTTAAAGTTTTACAGTAAGTGGTTTTTACATTTAAAGTTCAGTGTACTCTGTAAACACTTCACTGAAAATCAAAAAAATTGTAACCTGAGGTTAAGGGAATCTTAAAATTACATCATTGCACAGTATGCATGCATACTGTGCAATGATGTAAGTAGGGCCTTGCCATCTGTGCATTTTTCCATCTTGGATTTGCTCTTTTGTGATGAATTTATAGAGACTGGATTTATGGATTACTTAAGTCAAAGTGCTCAACTATTTGTGGCCTGGCAGAAGTGAAAATTTAAGAAATTGGCTTGATGATGCCTTTTTTTAATTGGCTTGGGAGCCTAATCACCATTTATAGCATTGTATTTGTGAGAAATTCAGTTCTAAGTTCAGAACAAACACCTTGCTAATGATTTTTTTATAATGCAACCCATTTGTAATAACACATTTTAAGGAAAATAAGTTTTATAATATGCTCTTAACAGGAAATTTCACAAACGGTAAGGCCCAGCTGTACTGTACAGTATTTAAAAATTCTTGGGTGTTCTTGTATGTATGTATCAGATAACATCCTGAATTGCTTCTGGCTTAAGAAATAATAAACAGTGGCTATGAATTTTTATGTAAAAGTTGAGTACGGTACAAAAATTTCAGATACTAGGCAAATCTCTAATAATGACTTATATTATTCCAGTCGATTAGGAGAGTTGGCACATGAAGTAGTCAACAAATATGGGGTTTTATGGGTAGCATCAGCTGGCAACCACGGCCCAGCTCTTGCTACAGTGGGAGTTCCTCCAGACTTTCAGAGTGACTCCATCATCGGTGTTGGTGCCTATGTGTCACCAGACATGATGATGGCTGAATACTCCATGATAGAAAAACTTCCTGGTATGTTGTACGTGTGGTTTCTCTTTAGTTTACCCTGACAATTAAACTTTATCTATTTTTCACATTTGTTCTTGATTTTGTTGAGTTTTATCATAGTTTTTTATTTTTATTTTTGTTGTTGAAACAGTTTGTTTCAGAAGATTTTTCATCACACAGGTTGTCCATACACATGGTCGTCTAGAGGACCCACAGCTGATGGAGCAAGAGGCGTGACTGTGTGTGCACCCGGTGGAGCAATCACCTCTGTGCCAACATTCACACTGAGAAGCAACCAGCTGATGAATGGAACAAGGTAGGGGTGTGGGTCCGTCTCTGTAAACCATATTACTAATCCTTGCATGTGATTTAATCCCTGCATTACAAAGAGTGAGGGGCATTGCAAATATATTTTTGTAAGTATGAATAGTTGAAGTATGAAATTTACTCTCCATCTTCTTTATCCTGCCCATAACTGTAGGGCAGGGATTTTTTTTGCCCTGTCTGTCTGTCTGCATCTGTTCTACTCAAAATAACTTGAGAATGGGTTTACATATTTTCTCTAAACTTGGTTGTTTTGATCAACATGTGACATGGTCCTTCTTTTGGGGAAAATTTTTGCTCAAATTGACCGAGTGTTCCCATAGTAATGGGTTTTTTTGCTAGTTAAAGAAAATTTTGACATGGGACAGTTTCCATTAGCAGCTGCATTACTTTACTGTAACAGTGTCACTTATTTGATATTTACCTCATGATTACAGTTCACAGGCAGTGTTTGCATCCATTCACAAGATGTTTTTACTATATGCATTATTGAGTTTCCAAATTTGGGATGGTTGAGTATAGCACTTAGGTGTTATGACCCTTTAAGTCTGAAAAACTGTGTTGAACCTTTCATAATCATCTCCATTTCCTGTTCATGTTAGTGGTTATGTTGGGTTTTCCTTATATTTATTGATGACAAGAAGTTTTAGGATTAACCCTTAGGCCCTGGGTGACAGTCATTTTTTTTGGGGGGGGGTGATTTTTTCTCGATTTGTCCCCCGCAGCGGGGGGTACTGCCAGCAGCACCCTAACCCGGGACTTAAGGGTCCAAAAAATTTAGAATTACACTAATTAATACTACCTGTGCACTTTAGCCAAGATGTGTATTTTTTGCAGCATGGCATCTCCACACACAGCTGGTTGTGTTGCCTTGATAATATCTGCGCTGAAGCTCAAGTCCATTCCATATTCCCCATACTCCGTCCGTCGCTCAATACAAAATACCGCTCTCAATTTAGATGTTGATGTCTTTGCCCAAGGTCATGGAATAATCCAGGTGAGTAATGTACTTATTTATATTTATTTTATTTTTTATTCTTAATTAATTTTCCTATATAGGGGTGAGAAAACCAAGAGAACGAGTGGAGATGGCAGTGAAGAATGAAAGAGGGAATATGTTGCAGGGAGGTAAAGGGAGATGGGATGGGTGGTTATTTTGAAAAACTGCTTTATGTAAGGGATAAGAGGAGAAGACTTACCCATTTTAAGACACATTGGATTGAATGGGGACAGAAAAAAAATGTAATAAGAGAGGAGGAGGTGAGACTAGCTTGAACCACAGTACTGAAAGGAAAGACAGTGTTAAGATGAAGAGTACTACAGGGTCATCTTTGTACAGTGGATTCACGATAATTCATAAAATAAAAATTTCAATTATTAAGTTCTCGGGTACCTTTATTACTGCCTCATTTATATTTTGCAGTAAAAAAAAATCGTAATTATTGGCTGAGCATTGGCTGCCCCAGTATTTATTTACATAGGAAACCATAAAAGTCGTGGAAATATTTCAATGCTCTTATGTGACATAGAAATTAAGAAAACATAATATACATGTAATCTCTCTGTTAGCAGACTTCTTTGATTTCCAGAACTCTCCAATAACTGGATTTTTTTTTCCCAGAAGTTTTGGGAAAAATCTCTCCATTCCAGGCATGGGAACAAAATTCCTAGACATTGCATCATGTTTCCGCCGTGGGGACGCGTGCCTGGGTTGGTAGGCTCAGGGTGTCAGGGTGCTCATGAGCTACTATTGACCACTATTTGCTCGCTCACAGTTGTTTTTGTGTACGATCTGTGTTGTGTAGTACTGTACCACCATATAATCAGCCAAGAATACCATTAAAGCATTGTTAAGTTGTAAAAAGTGATTACAATTGCTGTACATTCAGTAAGTGTAGGTAGTAGGCAGCTATTAAACTGAGATACAACCGCCTGGGAAAATATTGGAAGCATACTGTATTGTCTAATGGTAGACCCTGCTGCCATATGTCATCAAAAACATTGTGACCAAGTTCCAGGTTGCTGATCTGACTTTCTGCCTCATTTACACACAATTGCAGACTTCTCTGTATCACCATTATTATTTACTTACTGGTAAGTTTGAAGCATGGACTCGGGGTGCAAGAGAAAGGATTAAATGGATGCAGGAAAATATTGAGTTTAAGAGTACAGGTGCTCCTCTACTTACAAACGAGTTACGTTCCTGAGGCTTGTTTGTAAGTCCAACTTTACTCTTGTAGATACCAAACATTGTAAAAAATGAAAAGATTATGGATATCTAGTACAGCTATACCCTTTAATACAGCCTTAAAACCTGGCTCACTCTTCTCCTCGTAGGTAATGTTTGTTGTATCTGGAATTTTCTTCAAAATAATCCAGTCTCATCCACATTAAACACCTGTTCTGGCAGGTAACCCCTTCAGTGATGATGTTTGTATCTCTGAAAGTTTGTAAGTTGAATGTTCTTAAGTAGAGGAGCACCTGTAGTACATAAATGGGTTAAATAGAAAAACAAGAGGAAATAGAGAAATAAGGTAATGTAGGAATGAAAAAGTGTTTGACTTAGAATAATCTAGGTTTGCTAGGTGATACGAACATATTTTGATGATTTGAAGTAAAACATGAGTTAAAAAGAATATTTAATTCGGAGGTGGAGGGAGAAGGAAAGATGAAAAATATGGAAGGATGGGTGAAAGATGCACTAAAAGTGAGGAAGATGGACATCCAAGGAGCAGCAATGTGGATGAAGAGGAGAGCAAAGCTTTAAGTGGAAGAATGTACTTCTGGTGAGTGATGCAAGTTTGAGGAATGAAATGGGGGTAAAGCAGATTTAGGGTCCTAGTGGAAGGAAAGTACCAAAGCATAAAATGGCACTTACAGCAACAAGAAAGACTGGATGACAACAGATGAAGTGAAAATGTGTGTTTCAGGCCTCTGCAGTAAGTGAAAAAGACACAGGAAAAAACTTTCTTTAATCAGTCACAATATTTCCCCTTTCAAATATCAGTAAAATACCCTGCTGATCAGTCAGTCCCTCGTGCAGAACTGTGAAATGTAGTTAAAAACAGGCAGCTCAGAGTGAAAGAATTTCTAAACAGATAAATGTACCGGTAAGCCTAATTCTTTGTGCAGCAATTTATGGTGATCTGACTCTTTAAGAGGTATTGCAAGTTCCAAAAGGCATAAAATGTAAATTGAATATATGATTTTTTCTCTTTTGATGATGGACCCAATTAATAATGTCTACTTCTTTTGAAGGTAGACCGTGCTGTGGACCATTTATTGGAGCATTCAAATGGAGTAGAAGACACTGTACGATTTATGGTAGAATGTGGCAGTGACAGGAGAAAGGGGATCCACTTACGTAACTGGAAGGCCGACAAACCTATAGACATGTCAGTAGTGGTAGAACCTATAATGCTAAATGACACCCAAGCAGGTAAGTTCACTTTTTGTGTTTAAAAGAGATTTCTTAAAATGACAATTTCTTTTGTTTGTATTAGTTTTGAGACAGTCTAAAGAGAATTAAATTGGGTGGGGGATAGTATCATACATTGGTACTGGTAACTATGTATGATTGTTATACTGTATTGTAGTTCTTACTGCAGAGCTAATATATTTTTTAGAGTAGATGCTCTATATGCTAATGAGTATTAATTTCATTTGACAAGAATTTATCTTTTTTCAGATCCGAATGATAAATTAGCATTCTGCATGGAGTTGGTATTGACTTGTGATGCTCCCTGGGTCAAGGCACCAAGTTGCCTGCAAATGTCGTATACAGTCAGGTCATTCCAGGTAAATTAATTTATTTGTATCACAGAAAATTTATGGATAGTCTTTGATTGCCCTATATAAATAATTCATAATTGGACTCTGTGTATTAATAGAGCTGTCAGCTCAGCAAAAACGAATACCAAATGTTCTACACCTTACCTCTCAGTAAAAATTAAAATTTTTCTTTTCTTATTTTAGGTTGTAATGTGTAGTAATAGTAACTGTTTTATTTCAGTTAAGCATAGATCCACGTGGCCTTGAGAGAGGACGAGTGTACTTCACTGAAGTGAAGGCATATAACTCAAGCAATGTAGAAAAGGGTGTCATGTTTGAGGTCCCTATCACGGTTGTTGTCCCTACTGTAGATCTCCTTCATGGCTACCATTATGCCTGGTGAGATGTCATTTTTTTCCCATAAGAAAAATTTGGTATTCTTATGTGTGTGATCACTTTAAATCTTCTAATTAATTAATTTCCTTCAGTATTTTACAGCTAATTTATAGTCTGACAGTTATTTTATCTATTATAAATAGCATGCATACATACATTGTGTGCTGTGTGTGTGTTAATTATAAAGGTTTCTTAAGTTGTGACGTGTTATGGTTGAGAACCACTTAACTAGTCTACTTTTCTTTTCAAAAACTCTTCTATCAGTCTTCACACTTATCTTTGCCTTTGTACCTTAGCTCTCTGATTTTGAACTTTATCTTTCTGTTTTCATACCTAATATCTAATTTTAAGCCTTATCTCTTTGGTTCCACCACCTTTATCATTTCTCTTTCACACCATTTCCCTTTGGTCTTGAACCAAATCTCATAATTATCTTTTTTCTGTTCTGCTAATGTGTTATTTTAACGCCTTTTCCATATTTGTGTGATGTGTACCAAGAGTTACATAAATCTCAAGGACATCAGGGATTAGGGGAGGAAGGTAGATGTTAAATGTAGAACTTATTGGAAAGAACTAAGACAGCATTGAGAAGCTGAGACTGTTCACCCACTTGTTGAAATCCTTGTACAGTAAATGATCAACTTCCCCCGCAAGTTTGTGTTTACTAAATTCAAATGGATTTATATAAAGAAAAATTGTGTAGATTTAAAAAAATAATAATATCATTTCTACATACCTGTATATTGCACTTAACATAAATGGGAAATCTATAACCCTTAACCTGTGATTGTGGAAAACCCTGGCTGCTGCTGTGTACGGAAAATAGAAAAACTTGAAACCATTTTTTTTAAGACGCAGCAGAAGTATGAAAAATTATAAATCCTTTTGTATTGCTGTGATGGGGTGTTTAATTAAGCATTGGGGTCAGTGAGTAAGAGGTGGGGGCTGACGGAGGCCAGAATACTACCAAGTACCAACAACAACAAATTCATATGTGTCTTTCATATTGGTTGAAAACTTGAGAGGCAGCTGAGGGCCTGTTGATGTTTGGGTAGCATAAGAAGGTCTACTAGGACATGTGATGTGCTTTGTGAATTCTAATTTTGGTGTGCAATTTTAAAACTGGCATGAAAAATTTTAACCTCATATGATGCACATCTTAGTTTAAGGGATAATAGAAGTGAATACCGTCAAAACTCTTCCAAATAGTCCAACCAGTGTTAAGTTTCCATTCCAGAGTACAGAGCTTTCAAAATTGAGTAGCCCACAGTGCTTTTATAGGATATTGTTGGTTATTACTGCCTACTCGTGTATAACACATTCATGAGATTATGTTTATTACCAATGTATTTTCTGTTTTCATTTCTAAGAAAATTTAGCGATAGTTTTTCATGCTGTAAGAGTTTAATTATTACTTAGGGTACATGTAAACTTTTTCTGATCTTGTATGGTTTTGCATCATAGTCCAGCTGAGGTGTTTCGGGCAGGGTTTATTCGGCGTCACTTTCTGTACGTGCCAATTGAGTCTACGTGGGCAACTGTGACTCTTAAGGCATCTCATTCAGACAAGTGCCAAAGATTCACGCTACATGCTGTTCAACTTAAACCCAAGTGTAGCGTCAAAACTCTCGAGTATTACAAGGTAAAGAATTCTGTCTTTTCCCTTTGACTTTGCCCTTTGTGTGTTTACTATTCTAGAAATGTGGAATTGTTTAAATAAAGTTCCTCATTATTTTGTCAACCTGTCAATCTGAGTATCTTTATATCAATGTATGTTTAGCTGTTACTTTATTTCCACCCTAGCAACTTCCCTCGGCATGTAACCATGGTAGAATAGCCTCTTAGGCCCGAATTCAGAACGCTGGTTTGAAAGCTTGTGAAAGTTTAAACCAAGGATTGAGTGAAGATTGAAGATTGTTGGTATTCAGAACACTGGCTTGAGCCAACACAAAGATTCAAACTGGGTTTGAGATCAGATTTGTCAATCCTCACGTTAATCCAGCCTGGAGGCAGATATAGCGATCGATCCAACATTCAAGATAGCAAGTTAACATGAATTTTGACAGAGCGCACTTTTTGGAAATTTTGTAGAGAGAATGCTGATGATAAATAGGCAGAATCCTATAATTTTTTTATGATGACATGCAATTCAGACAACGATATTGGTTCGACTGGGGAGATTTCCTTGATAATTTCCGTGATATGGGGCATCTACTTGACAGACCTGTTGGCTATGGTTCACCTCTACTTTCCATTCATTAGCTGATGATTGCTTTGAGATTCTTTGCAACGAATAGTTTCCAGGTAAGAAAGGTTCTGGTTACTGAATGAGTTGTGGTAATGTGTGACAACCCTTTCCTGTTTAGGGTCCATGAAGATCAAGCGGATAAGTGTAAAGAACGCCGACGCTTTTTTTTTGGGGGGGGGGAGCTATTTTGATTTATTTAAAATATAATTGAATCTATGTTGAGTGCATTTTGATTTTAATGTATTAATAAAGGAAAATCTTTTCCTAACATTACTAATCAAGGGAATGTGGGGTTAAAAGAACCCAACGAAACCTAGCCAGGTCACTACGCTTTATCTTGCCACCTGTCCCGGATTATATCTATCATTTGTATGTACAGGTTATTGTTCTTCCTTTATGAATTTTTTTTTTATCATATAACAGCACAGCCAAGTTGTAACACAGTACCATAAATCACCATAATTTAATCATAATTTGATTGTAAATATAATAAGAAAAATAACTTATGCCGTGCAAGGAGAGATTTCTCCTCCTCCGTAAAAACTCGTCAAGGCATAGGTGCCACCATGATCTCGTAAACATTATTCTCAATGATGATTGGCTGTCGTAATGGTGCACATGAAACGTGATTGGCTGGAATTTCAGTGTTCGAATCCTTGCTCATAGCTGAAGAAAATGCAACAGATTATCCAATTCGGGGTTCAAGCCAATGTTCTGAATATGGGTAACCCACTGCAGGAAATCTCGGATCGAGGAATCTTGATTCGCATGCCTGAGCCGAGCTCAAATCCCAGACTCAAACCACTATTCTGAATTCGGGCCTCAGACTCCCTATCCTGATGTACCTTCCTAGCCAGGTCCATTCTATTTATTCCTTCACAATTCACATGTCAGCAACTGTATTGTGTGCTCTAGACAGTATTTTTGTTTATTAATGATTTTATCCCATCTAGTTGGGTTTGTTTGGAGTAAGGATAATAATTGGATAGGAAAGAATCCTTTAAACTCTAAATGGTGAAAGAACTTTTGTCTGTCAACTATAACTTTTTTTCAGGTAATTAATTTAGGTTGCAATGAAGTTAGTACACAAATATTTGGAGTACGAGGTGGCTACACAATGGAGCTCTGTCTCGCCCGCTGGTGGTCAAGTCTAGTTGATGGACAAGTTGAGATCTCCGTTGATTTTCACAGTCTTCGCCCATCACAAGAAGAGGTAGACCAATACTGTCATGTTTGCTTGTTAAATGTAAAGTTCACCACATTTTTCTGCACTCAGTCTGAAATACCCATTGTGATTACCTCATTAAGAGAAAGATTTTGTTCTTCTTTTTCTCTGGTATTTCTGACACCTGGAAGGTGACCAGAAATAGGGACCATAACAGGAAGATAGGGCTTGATGAGGAAGGCAGAGGAGAAATGAAGAAAGGGAAAAGTAAGAGAAAGGAGAGAAACAGGGAAAGGAAAGAGGGAAGAAGAAAATATAAAAAAAGATATAACAAATTTTAAATAACAGGAGGAAAAACATATTTTCAGGCCCTGTTAGGCTGTTAACCAGGGTTGGCACTCAGTAAGGCAGCTGAAGCACAAATGTGTCTTGTAAAATGCAGATGGGTGCATTCTTGAAGAATTACAGCAGCTTGGAACAACTATTACAATGGAAAATATGGGATTATTTTCTAACCCTCTCCATCAGACCTCCTCTGCCCACAAACAAAATGTTTTAAGACATTGTACACCAGACAAATTTGTGTAAATACAGAAACAAATATACTGACTGTAAATCCATTCTTTTTAGTGAAGAACTGATGATGATACACATGAGTCAAATGATATGTTCAAGGGGTGGGTGACAAGTCTGGCAAAGATGGCACTACAGGGTGTTGGAGGTGAGGAAGGATCTTTAAGTCATCACTAACCACAGAAAACAAAGTAGGGGTGGCAGATGGAAACACTAGCAACAGAGGAAGTGTTGGCATAACTGTGGCTGGACAGTGTGATCTGAAAAACTGTCAGTTAACTGCTGTACTCGCTGCTGGTGCTGTTTGTAAATTTATATGTAAACTGTGATATCTTCAGTAATTTTTCTTCCCACATTCTAAGCCATGTCCATAGCCAATTAGTTCATCTAGTCAGACAGCTAAAGGAACTTAGAATGGTTCGTCTTGTTGGAGATTAACAATTTGGTACAAATCAGGCCATTATGAAGACTTACATTGATTACACTCTATTAGATTTTTTTACAAAGCAGTCGTTTCTAATCCTGTACAGTACTTGTAATTAGTTCAGCTATTGCATCCATTTTTGACAAATTGAATATACTGTATGGATCTTTTCTATGGATTTCATTTTCTGTGATTTGAGATAATTTTTGGAGCATTATCCACTGCCCCTTTTTTTAATTAATCATTGCATCTTCGGCCTTATACATGAAAGCTTTTCTTTTAAAAAAATTATGCAGAAATAAACACTATATTTCCAGTTTGTTGATTGACTGCATACTGTATTTTATTTCCTACAGGTTACGTTATTCTGTAGTGATGGGGTGCAGAGAGTGGATGTTCGAGCAGGATTACGGCCAGAGGAGATGTCTCCACAGGCTACCCTCAAGCATCATACACAGGTCTTTTATTAATATGTCCTTATGTGATTTGGAAGTTTTTAAAGATTGTAGCACAGAATTAATTGACACTGAATATATATTGAATAGATATACAGTGGTATAGTTATATTATAGCTTGGTATTATAGCCTCTAACTTAGAAAAAATGAATCCTAAAATTTGGCAAAATTTTTTTGACACTTCCCTTTGTGGCTCTTGGAACCTAAACAATAAATACAGGACAATGGTGGGCCTCCTTTGGCCATCAGTTTGCTACAACAAGGTCACACAAACCATTTACTTTAATATCTGTCGTATTATTAAAATGTTGTGCCCTCTCATCCATCTTTTCATCAAGCTTTCATTTATAACTCCTGTTTGAAGTGTGATGGAAGGTGGACGAGAACATCTCCTGTAGAGGTGTATTATAGTTTCATTGTGACGAGTCTTTCATTTAGCAGATGAGGATGATGCTACATCTTGGTATGTATATAATGTTCACACTACAGGTGATATGACTTATTATTCACTGCAGGTGGTGACGCCAACGGAAAGTAAAGTTGAGGTGCTGGGAGGACCTCGTGATACCATCCCTGGGTGTCGACCAATTTATCAGCTGCTGTTGTCATACAACCTCTCTCTATCAAAGTCTGCTGAAGTGAGTTAATATTTTGCATACATTTGCACCATTTTTATTGTTAATTGTACAGTAAAAGATTAAAACTAATTGTACTCACTTTACTTTTATCACTCATGGATGCAATTGACCATAAAAAGTAATCGTTTTGTTTACACTTTATACACCTGATATCCTTTTTTTCCTAATATTAACTGTGTAACACTTCTTGATACTCTCTCCCACTTCATAGAATTTCAGGGTTTTTTTTTTTTATTGGCTCTGCCTTCCTATTTTCAATTTATATTAATTACTTGTTTCTTACTTTTAACCTTTCTACATTTGCACAGAGTACATGAATTGCCATTACACAGTAAGCTCTTTAATATCCAACACTGAACACCCTAAATTATGAAGAATCTTTAATTTTCAAGGACTTCCAATGCAAATTCATTTTTAAGAAATTGTAATCTAAACAAACTGTAGCAACATGTGACAGAATGCTCTTGCTTAGCATAATTGTTTATTCCATTGGTAAATGGAGCTGCATTCTTTCTCCAGATTTGGTTAGTTATTTTATGATCAATTAAAATGTTAATTTTGAATAATATTGTGGAAATTAAACCCTGAATCTTATTTATCCAGTGATTACCATTATACATTGAATATGATGTTATCTTTTCATGAACCTCGATACACCTTATCACTTCCAACTACTGTATACAGTACAGTACATTAGAAGTGATGGCTCATTCCAGGGTTATTGCTGCTGCTCATATCATGTGCTGGTAACTTTCTTGACAACTCTAAATTGGGTAAAATCACTTGAAAAATTAAAGAATATGCTGGGAGTTCTGTTAAAGTCTGGAGCTGGATTCATAAGATAGGATTGATTGCTACAGCTTGTTGTAGCCAGTCAGACTGCTTAGAACATATATATAAGATATCATTAAAATGAAAAACAGCATGGTAACTAGAAATAAAGATGTAAATTATTTACTATTGTAAATAGTTATCATAAATCAAGGTACAGTTCCATAAAAAAGTATCTTGTCCATGGGGTAGATATGGTTCGTGGTTTTTTGAGCAATGTTAGTCCACTAGTTTAGTAACGTTTGATACAATTAACCACAGGTATTGGTATACACCATTTTCTACAATGTGGATCAAATTACAGTACGTATCTGGTAACACTTTCATGCAGATAACTGTCAAAATTTCAAAATAAGTAACCAAAGTATTTCATTTAGCATTTTAATCTGTAAAGATCGGAAAAGTAACTGTATATTACTGTATACTGTATATAGAGTATATTAATATTAATTTTAGAGAAAAGTGACATTTCATATTATTAACGGTATCAGAGCTGGTCAACTAAGTAATGCTGTTAACAAACCAGCACTTTTTGAGATTGGCATAACTTCTATCCTAGGGTTCCTAATATTAAGAGATTACCGTTATATTTATGTGTTCTGCTGTAGAGGCTATGTAGCTATACACTGGAGGCATTATGATGTAGAGTGCCAATTGATACTCTTATTGATAACTTCATTTGTCTCTTACAGGTTACTCCGAAGTGTGCACTGCTAAATGATGTCTTGTACGAGTCTGCTTATGAGTCTCAGTTATGGATGCTGTTTGATCATAATAAACAGCTTCTAGGTTCTGGAGATGCTTATAGTAATAAATATTCCATCAAATTAGACAAAGGTGACTATACAGTCAGGCTTCATGTGCGACATGAACGACCAGACTTACTAGAAAAACTCTCTGACCTTCCTCTTACAGTGCTCACCAAGTTGGCTCAAGAGGTGAGAACAAAGTTTTGAACAGAATTTAGCTAATAGTGTATCAGCTCATTTATGAATTATTAAAATTTCATCTTTTCTTATAAGCTTGACCAGAAATAGGAAATAGGTTTTGTCAACACAGACAAATTTAAAATTTCTTTAGTGTGTTAGTCAGTGATTTGAAAAAAGTGATTTGTTGTCATGGGGTTGACTGATGTACCATAGATAAAAATGCACTGGAGTTGTAGTGACTGTAGATGGTTATACTGTACAGCACCTGGATGTATTAAGAGTCATATATTTTTTTCTTCAGTAATAGGGTATTTCACTACAGGACCAACCATGGATATCCATAATGCATTTATTTCAGTATTTAATGTTTGGGCTTTTTTTAGGTTCTGATTGATTGTCAATGATTCATCTTAAGATATGATATCCTTTGACAGGTAAAATTGGATATATACACATCTTTCAATGCAGCAGTGACTTCAGGCAAGAAGGCTCAGCCTATGACTTTGAGCACTGGCACCAACCAACCCATCTACCTCACAGCTCCCAGCCTATCTGATAAGTATGTACCATCCTGGTATGATGCTGTATGAACCTTCAACATTTTGTACCAGTAAAGACTTCTGAACAGATAATCTGTGCATTGATGTTTAGTTCATTTACTTTTGGGATAGTGAGAGAGGAGTGGTTAATATTTGTAGTACAGTATAGGTTGATGGGATTGGTAGCTTGGTATGCTTATGTTTGAAGGTTAACACTGATGATGGAGGAATAAACAGGAGTTACTAACATTAATAAAGGACACAGTATGTAATGAAAATATTATCTTATAATTCTGTTATTTTATTTAGTCCTGCTCTACAAAAGTGGCCTAAAGGATGAATGAGAAAAACTTGCTACCTTAGCAAATTCTGGTCAGTTCACTTTATATTTGTTTCCCACACTTGCAAGCCTTTTCTCACATGATGCAGGGTGGCCGGAATCAAGAACAGCGCAGATTTTTCCGTCATTCATTTTCTATAACCGCTATAACAGATGTGTTCTGGTTTGGTGTTCTTTTACAACGTGGCTCCAAGACTTCCATCTGGTCTTCCTGTGACACTTCATACACTTGGCATCTTTCATGTGAAACACATCCTTCAAAATTATCTCTCTTGCTCTCCATTGTTGTTTTACACAAAGTCAGGGTATCCATGTACCTGTAATTCACTGATATGTCATTATTTGTTTGGTTTATTTTTTGTGTTATTATATATATATATATATATTATATATATATATATATATATATATATATATATATATATATATATATATATATATATATATATATATATATATATATATATATATATATATATATATATATATTCAAACACTGTCTTAATTGATATTGTTTATTTTTTAAAACAAGAACAAAAACTATAGTTTGAATCATCCTTTGTAGTTCGTGTTTATGTAATATTTGAGAAAAATATTGGAGCAATGTTTCACTATTATTTACTTTTGCAGGACTCTGAAGGGCCTTGGGCTGACCCCTGGTCAAGCTTTATTAGGTAGCCTGTCGTTTGCTAAGGATGAGCAAGTTCGGAAAGCTGTAAGTAGCCACAAGTTTGGGCCCATACGTACTATGCCGGTAAGAGCACAAGCTTGCCCTACCTTCAATATTTTTCTTTTTTTTCTCTCTCTCTCTCATTCCCCTTTTCTTTTCCTTTTTAATCTGTAGACTCGTTCTGAAGATTTTACATGAGTATGTAGTCTTTACCCCTTGGTAGTTTTTCTACCTGTGCTTACCTCTGGAGCTGTGAAGTCTGTAAGTAGAGTTGTCATATTAGGTATATATACATATGTATGGGTGTATACCGGTATCCCTAGACATAAATGTAGTTAAAATTGATCCATCTTTATTCTACCTTATTGTTAGCTCATTTATTACTAAGGCGTAATTCCACTATACCACTCAATTGTTTAAAATTTTGAAGTGTTTTTAGCATTTGGTTAGACTCGTGAGATGGTTTATGTTACAAGGCATGATTGCAAAAATTATATTGTAAAATTTGTAAGCTTCAAGTCTTGGATCTGTATACCTCAGATGCCAGCTTAAGGAAGGACATTAAGTGAAGTGTGAAAAAATAATTTTTTGCTGGTAAGGACATGGTACAACAGTGTACAAGATTCTAGGACAGTAAGAAGTTTGTTTGGAAGTTCAGGAGACTTTGATAATAGTATAGTGATCCCTCTGTAATTGTTGGAGGTTCATTACAAAATAGGGTTGTAAAAGAGCAACACTTTACACTAGCAAGGTTAACTTCTTATGAGAAATTGGAGTTTAGGTTTAGGTTTGAAAGGATGTAAGATCCCTCCCAGAATATGAGCTTTTAAACAAAGATCTTGTATATGCTTTTAAGATAAATAAACTTTCATATTCAAAATAAAATAAAATGCTTTAAATTAAAAATAAATAAGTTCAGCTTGTAAATACTTAAGAGATAGTTGTGAGTCGTGGTAGTCAATGTGGTGGATGTATTTCTTATTTTCTTGCTAGATACCAGAAGGCCACATAAGGTGCATGGGAGCCATGATGATGCACACATGTAACACAGATTGTAGAAACAATTAAGGAAATTTGTTACAGGAGCATGGTGATACAATCCTACCACAGTGAGAAATGTGTGGCCACTTACACAGCTCCTGCCTTCTAGGTGGCAGGAAAGCACATTTCAAGATGGCTGGTGGAAGACTACCTGATTTTTCCTCTGTTTGCCCATGACATAGGATCCTGTGTAGTGTTTATCATGTCCTTAGTTGAAAAAAAAATTTACTTCTACAGTTCACTCAACAATGTCTTCTTTTGAGAAGGATTTTCATAATGATTCGTTGTACCAATTTGAAATAAGCAAGTAGAATATTCATTTACGTTAGGCTTACTGGCCATTTTTAGAAAAATAACATGAAGAGGAGTTTAACTTTTTTAAGTATAATTGTGGTTGGTACATTTTACTTGAAAAATTAATAGCTTTGAGGTCATACTCATGTTAAAATAATTTTGAGTAAGACTGATAGTGAGGAAGACTGAAATTCAGATGTGGGTTTATAGTATGTGTTAAGGAATTCCTACATAGGAGAAAACTAATTATTCAATCGATGTAAATGGCCTCTTTTGTAAACATAAGACACCCAAAGGTTTTGTAATTATGATCACCTGGTATTCCATTTCATTTGCAGGATCAATATCCACTACGGGTGGTCGTTACAGAACTGCCTTGTAAGAAACGCAGTGCTGGTAGTAGCAACAGCAGCAACTCAGAAGAGAAGAAAGAGACTAAGACACAGGCTGATTATCTTGAAGCCTTGCGGGATCTACAAACTGCTTGGATAGCTAAACTAGGTACACGTAATAGCCAAACTAGGTACTGCAGCTACTAAGTGGTTCCTTTTTAACTGTCCTAGAGCACTGCTTTCTTTGTGTGAGTCACATTGTGTAAATATATTATTAATGGAGATACAGAGATGGTCCCTTTGTAACAATTATAATACACTATAGCAACCTCTCTTTGTGATACAGATTGTGAAAGTGGGGAACAACTACATAAAGAGGTTATGGCTACTCACCCAGACCATCTTGCTGCCCAGTTAGCCCGACTGCAATCTTTAGATGCTGCAGGAGCACAGAACAGAGCAGCAGTAATAGTGCAGGCTGCTCGGATCATATCAGCAGTGGATACAGCTCCTCTGCTAGCCTTCTATGGTACCAAGACAGACACTAGGTCAGATGCTGCAAAGATCAAAACACAGGTCAGTGTTTAATCAGTTACCGTGTTCTTTAAGAAGCTTTAAGATCTCTAAGTATTCTTATGATTTCCCCGAGTAATTTTGTATCGTGTATTCTTGCTACCTTGCATCATGGTAGATTGTGTGCTGTCATTAATTTATATAATAAAGTAACAGTAACCGCTGTGAAATTTCATGTGTTATGAAGTTGTCTACTGTTTATTTGATATTGTGAAATAAAATTTAGTTATGGGATTGAGTTGAATAATGTAGAATTCACCGCAATGAATATTCAGTTTTACATAAATTTTTTCTTAGCACACACAGTAAAAAAAAAGTTCTGCACAGATAATGTGTGAAACAATATGACACCATGGACGAGGGATAGTGGAATATGCATGTTAGTCCTGTATTTTGGTGGTAGCCCTGCTTTCCTTGCCTGAGGGTGTCCTCACATATCTGTTGCTACCATAGGTAGGTGGAAACCTTTGCCATACAGGTACGCATACCAACCCTCCCGGCACATCAGATGATGTATGAATCATTGCGGAATTCAGCAGACCCCCCTCCCCCCTGCGCGATACTTTTTTACAAGGTGAACATGACTGGTAGGTTCATTATAAGAGTAAGAGCTAAGTAAAAATCATAATTCAAATTGAAATGTAACTGTACAGGATTTAATCTTTTTGTACAGCCACAGCTTGTTCTTATTGATATTGAAACAGTTTATTTAGCCAGAAAAATAAAGATACCAAGTGGATAATAATAAAAAATATTGACATGGCTGAGCCAATTGAGAGTCTGAGCTCTTTGAGTGGCACCTGATATATACTGTACACTTATCTCAAGGAAGTACAGTATTATGTAACATTTAGTATCATCTGGAATAGTACACATAACATGGTGATAGTAAGAACATATGAGAATGTTACCATGGTTATCACTTCGTGGAACATATTTTGTTATTACAGTACAGAACTGTATGTCTCTGTATGTACAAATATAATTATCCCGGTATCACCTTCAAGCTTAATAATGTGGTTTTACACAAACCTGTTTCTTTGCATTGATCATAAATATTATTAATAAAAAAAATATGTGTAGGAGTTTAGCTCCTTATTTGAAAGTGTCTCCAGTAACTGTGTTCATAACCCCTTCTGCACAATACAACAAACCAGAACCATGGTACTCTTATGTACATACCACACCCAACTTAGTGGTAATATTATGACATGATTTTTCAGTAGAGAAGGGATTGAGTGTCCTAGGACCATTGAATTTCAATTTCTGGTCTGAATAATGTCATGAAAAAATGCAGCAGCTTGTTTGGTTCTGACCATAATTTGGTGTACAGCTTGGCTGCTATACTATTACTTTATTTGAAAAACTGTCGCTCAAATTTTTATCAATAACCTGATTTCTTTTTATGTGTTGTGAGTGTAGATAAAGTAACATGATATTTATTTCAGATGGACAAACAGCGTAATACTCTGCTTGAAGCTTTCTCCCGGCAAGGATCAGCCCTTTGTGCGGACATTCTTGCTCTACCAGCAACGGAGCGTACCCCAGAAGCCATAGAACAGGTGGACAACCTTGCTGTTGACATTATGAAGTTTGTAGAACCATCAGATTCAAAGGTAAGTTTTGTAATGCTGATATTTATGGGTCATTTGGTTTGTCTAAACATGAATACAAAATAAATATTTGAGACTGTGTGGTTTTATCCTGATGTCTGTGAATCTGTGCCTGTTACCAGGTTTTGTAAGAACAAAAACAATTCTGGTTTATATTTATTTTGGACAAACCTTGGTAGGAATGTTCTTGGTGCAGGGACGTTATTTGGCCTTCTTAGAGTAGCCAAAACATGAAAAAAGTCAATCATGTTGAGTTAAAGAATATTTCTGGTTTTAGTATGCAGGTTATATATACCTGTAATAGCCTTTACTTCCTGTAGGAATTTTCAGAGTGCGCAAAGAAGAAAAGAAAGAGCAAATTAAAAATTTAAATACAGTACAGTAAGTCCGTGCTTAACGTCGTCCCGCTTAACGCTGTTTTGGTACTATGTCGCTAAACTTTAGAGACCAAAAATTCGATTAACGTCCCGGTGATCTGATACTACGTCATTTTGCGTCTTCACAGACTACATTTTACGGTGCATCACCCTCTCTCGTCTGGCCGCGCTATTCTCTCTCGGCTCGGCGCAGAGTCTCGGTGACTCGCCAACCTCCTCCTCTGCCACTCTCTTCCGCTCTCCTCCGCTCTCGCCATACTCCTCCCCTCCCGCCATCCTTCTCCTCTGCTAAACTACCCACCACACACTCACTTTACCACCTCCGCCCATCGGTGAGTGCCAATACAAACTTAGTACTGTAGTTGTATATGTATGCATTATTTTTTATAGAAATGGCAATGATTTTCTGTATGTGTAATGTATTTCATGGGGCAAAGGATGGCTCAGGAACGTAACTCCCGTATTTTATCTATTTCTTATGGGGAAAATTGATCCGCTTAACGTTGTTTCATATAACGTCGCATTTTTAGGAACGTAACCCTGACGTTAAGTGAGGACTTACTGTGTGTCCAAAAGTTTATTGCTCTAAATCTGTTGAAAATATATTCATTGTTTGCTCAGGTGTTACATTTTATTCACTATTTTTGCTTAGGTGCTGAAATGCAATCACTTAGTTTTGGTTTTAAGTATTTTCATGTGCTCGCTAGGTGGTTAAAGTGTTTTACAGGCTAACTTAGTAAATAGAAGCTGTAGTTGATGATTGTAACTATATAGAATAAAAATTTAGAGAATGACACATCTCTTGTTTACAGGTGAATGCCTTCTTTGCCAGTTACTACCAAGTTCGTGGATTTGATGGACTTGCCGTGCGGTTAATTACCCGCCAGTGTGATGAAAAATGGACTAGGGAGAATGATGCAAAGTTAACAGATGCTTACAATCGACTGGGCTGGACCCACATTTCTACAATTATTGCTAGTTCCCATCCACTCCGGTTTCCCACCAGCTATACACCTTTCTAAGTGTATAAAGCAAGTTTTCAGAGAATATATCTTTAGCTACTTTGATTACTCTGCTGCCATAAGGTTGATACATGAAAGCTTTTATAAATCGATTATTTTGCATCCACTGTTCTTTGAATTATCTGAAGTCTATACCACCAATGGTATATGGAACTTTATACATTAACCCCTTAGACTCTGCTGGCATATGCCCACACGCCTGTGAAGGTCTAATTATAGCACCAATTGTCGTTTTGTGATGTCTCTGCATACTTTAGTGTCCCTCCTCTTATAAGAGGAGCTCTTCGGATGCATCTCAGAATGGCGATTTTTTCTAAAGAGATGTCAGGCAGGATCACCACAAAATAACTCCTCCCACCATATTTCATGAATGAATTGCAGCCAGCCAGCCAATTTCTGGTTAGTAACATCTTTGAGAGTTATTATTATATATATATATATATATATATATATATATATATATATATATATATATATATATATATATATATATATATATATATATATATATATATATATATATATATATATATATATATATATATATATATATATATATATATATATATATATATATATATATATTTTTTTTTTTTTTTTTTAGTGCTTGCAGTGCTTAAGGGACCATTGTCTCTGAAGTGGGGTGGAATATGGTAAGATTAGTACATATTGGTAACATTATGCAGAGCAAATACGCACATAATTATGAGTAGTGACCACATTTAATTTTAAAATTTATGATTACACATATTTGAAATTTCACGAAAATTAATACAGTAGGCCCTCCAAATTCGCGGGGATTAGGTTCTCAAAGTGGCCGCGAATCGCCAAATCCACAAATAACATTTGCTGACCAGGGGGGGGGGTACATTTTTTCTTGTGTACAAAGAAATGTATATGCCCTTTATGTGTTTGCCCTTAGGACAATTATTTATTTTACCTGTAATGTAAATATATGTGTGTGTGTCTACACACGTGCACACACACACATTTACAATACAGGTAAAGGAAATTACTGTCTCTAGAGCGAATGGCTCCTTGTCCCAGCCGTGAAAATGGCGGTAACTTCAAAATTACCTGCAGACATTCTTGGGTACATCCAGGGTGTCATCCGCGAATAATAGAGAACCGCGAAATTAAAATCCGCGAATTTTGGGGGGGCCCCCCCTGTAGTCAGTATTGCTAGCATAATCTATCTCAACTTAGCAATGGCAAGTTAATATTAGGCTGTTGTAGAGAAAAGTTTAATGACAACGTATTTGTTTGAATTTGATGAATATTTTGCTTTTTTAAAAGTGCCAGTTAATGCCTGGGTGATCAGGTTTTCTCCTGGGTGATCAGGCTTTCTCCCTTATCATTTGATATTTATATAAAAATTGACTTGATAGCAAAAGTAAATAAAAGTTCAATCTTTCTCAGACTTTCTGCTGTGTAGAGTACTGTTTATACACAGGTATTTCTTTCCCTCTCTCCAGAGCATATCTCTGAAGCTATTTAACCAATTTTTTTAATTTTTTCTGCTTTTGTAGCGATGTGGAGAGAGTAAATTGTTTTGCCATATGCCCTTTAATGTACAATACTTTATTAAAAATGTGTGAAAATCACTTTTTTGCTTAAGTTTGGGTAAGGCATGAATTTGCTTGCAAACGTGATTTGTATTTGAATATAATATTAAAAAGAGTTCATTTGAAATACAGTACAGTAATAAGTTTTATAGGAAAATCATTGTACCACCCATATCCATTGTGCCACTGCTACAATTCTACTGTGTCACCAGTATCTTCGAGGTGTGTGGGGGGTTAATGGGAAAGTTTTAGTCCATCCTGAGGACTGATGAAAACTCTGCTGGTGTTCATGCAATATCTTGTGTATTAAATATATCGTGAGCACTATAGTCTTTGGAGTTACAACTGGAAATACATCAATGTTTCAACCAACTGTTCAGAAGTTGTAGACTAGGTATCACTGAAGTTACAATTGATATTACAGTACATCATTGCAGTTTACTTCATGATGTGTAGACTTGGTGTCTATGGCAGTACAACATGAAATATATCATTGCAATTAACTTTACAGGAGTTGGAGACTTGATGTTGTTGTAGTTGACTCTGAAGGAGATACATCTCTAATACTATGTATTGCAGTTCTTGTTTCTACATGCTCATTCTTATTTAGAATGAAGCATTATGTATGTAACAGTGAAGGAGCTTGTGTGAACTTTTTAATTAACACAAACTTCTAAACTGTTTATTTATTGTTGAAATAATTTTATTATTTACATTACTGTAGGCCTTGTTCAAATGTTTTTGTAGCTCATTGAAGCCTTTTTATTTTAAAGGATAGTAATGCTTTTATTCACTATTTTTATTTAATGGCATATGTATAAGGATGTAAAACACGAAAAATAGTATTGAGTTTGAAGTTTTGTTTTACTTTTGTTTTAAATGAGGATGGGTTATTTTTATTACAAATAAACACCTAAATGGTAACTGTGGAAGAAGCATTTACCTATGAACTCATCAGATATTTATGTAGAGAACTTATGAATTCTTTAAAGCACGTGTAAATGGGAACTCCTGAGATGTGTCTGTACACCTGTTAATATTCTGTGACCACCAAGAACTGCCCCCTTTTTATAATGAATAATAGGATATATGGATAAAGAATTTGGAGGTTTGAGAGTACTGTTAATGTTCAATTTACATGCAAGTGCATTAATTTTACATATGATTTTAAGACAATTATACCGACTTACTCTTGCGAAATGGCACTGGATTTTATAACAAGCGTGTTCTTTATACAATTTTGGAATACCCTGTATTTTGATGCTTTGGGATTTTTTGAGTTGTTGAATATCACCAACAGTCCAATCATTCATTAATACGTACATATATTCATCTTCTAATTCTTATCTTAAAAAAATATTTCATAACTTCATAATTGTAAAATAAAATAAAAATAGAAAAATACATTTATCTTTGGTTCACGGATTCTTAAAATAGAAAAAATGCTTTATGTCTACAACTTCTTTACAAATGGGGACAAAATAAAATTTATCTTTTGTTTGTTGTGCTGAGGTTGGACTACTATTTGTTTTGTGACAAAACTAAACGTGGTTATAATTTTTTGAGCTTGCAATACTGAGAAAACAAGGACCTGTGCTATTTTTGTGTGCTTACAGTACTAAGACAGCAAGGGTCTGTGCTTTAATTTTATTTATTTGTTGATTTTATTTTGTTTATACAGTATATATATATATATTTTTTTTTCCACAGAGGGGATCATAGATAATGTTTGTACAACAGTTTGCAGCTTGTTGATTTCTTCAGTCTTTTGGAACCATTTTGTTGTAGTTGAAGAGGATTTATGTTGGGAAATAAGGGAGTTTCTTTTGAGACATAATGACTTCATTTGCTTATTTATTCTTAATGTAGTTGGCCTAGCACAGACAAGTAGTCTTGAGCCTGATTCACATTTCTTTGTGGTGAAACATTTAAGGGTCTTTATCAGGGGTTCATTGTTGGCATGATAGTGTTTTGGGAATGTGCCTGTTTAAAGATCATTACTGTATAGCATGTCTATGGGCCAGAATATCAACATCTTGCTATTTTTTAATCCCAGAACTTATATACATGCACAAAAATTCAGATATGTTGAGAAGAATTAATTCTTCAATAAATGTACATGTTAAAGTTCAGGCTTTTATTGTTAGCATGACATCAATTTTCAGCTCAGAGACACTACTAAAGTCTTTATATATATAGTACAAATGTTTCAAAATTGTCATGCAAACTGTGAGCCCCAAGTTATTACCCCATAAGTACTTGTGTATTGGAATAATTGCTACTTATTAACAAAAAAATATATGGAAATGTGCTTTAATTGGTAAGACTTCTTTCATTGGCATAAATTTTTATGATAGTCGTGATGAAAATAATATATTGTAATTTATGAGAGAATAAACTGCAATATGTGATATTTTTTGTGGACAAAACTTGTCTAAACACTTTTTTCCTTGATTTTTATAAATAGAAACTGTTACCCAAATTTCATATTGGTATTAACTTAGCATCTTCACATCTTGCAGGAAGATGACAATAGGAAGCTCCTAAACTTTCTTCTTCAATTCATCTTGGAACAAAGGCCCTCTTGAAAAGTTTTTGGAATAAAGATGGAATCTTGGGAGCTCTCTTAAATGTACCGAGAGTTGTGAATGTGTAAACTATTTGTCTTTAAATTAATAAGATCACCTAAAGGTTAGGCACCCCAGCTTACTTCATCTCTTGATTAAACACCTTAACACCAACCAAAACTAACCTCTATGCAGCATTCAGGTGTTTAATCCTCAGGTGAAATATGCTACTCTTCAGGTAATCAATACAGTACAATATTTGCATTTCTTGTACTGTAATGGCTAAATGTAAATACACTGGAATTTTTCTATTTGATTTTCTTGAATCTGTAGTACAGGTGTAAGACTGTACAGCATCATATGTCCAGACTCAAAATTTTGCTTACGTTGTTGTGAGTTTGAGTGTGCTTGACAGACTTTTGCAAGGTGAAATGTAGTATTTTGCTTGTTCAAAGATAAACTAACTTATAGAAAGATACTTTATTTCATAATGAAGGATGTGGAGGTATGGTATAACTTGTCAAAAATATTCTTTTATCTTTGATCTTTTTTAATTATCTATGAAATTTCATGAAAGTCTTGAAAATAGTAAAACCTGTAATAATATTGTATGAGGAAGGCAATTCCAAACTTAATATGTTACACAGCAGGGTACAGTGTTTACATGAATTAATTCAACTGCACACCACCAAAACCATAATTCTATGCAGCCCCAAAATTTACCCATTCATGTGTACCGCCATGGCAGTCCTTGATTTATAAAGCATCAGTTTATGAAAATTCTAAAGTTCAAAAAAAAAATTTGTCCACTGCTTTGATTTACAAATGAAAACCTTTAAGTTAAGATTTTTTTCACTATTTTCATAATTATTTTCTTAGTACAGTACTTGCTAGAAATAATGAAAATATGCTAATATAATGCAATTTCTTTACTACCAGTATACGGTACTTTTTTCACTGACTAATCTCATTTTATCTAACACTCGCAATAATATTAAGTCTATAAATAAGCTTACAATGTATCATCGTTCTCCTAAAATCTCCATTTTACTTACTCCTCAAACCAACTGAAGACAAGTAGGTCTGCCTCCACCATCACACACTCACTCAGCCAGTTGCCTTTTTTTTCCACATTTCTCCTCATTACTCTCATGTTATACATGTATGTGGAAATTCAATTAAATAACTTTATTCTGTACAGACAGTCCCCAGGTTACGTATGAGTTCCATTCATACGGACATTCTCAAGTCAAAAAATCTACTTAAGTTGAAACATACCCTTTAT